GGAGAGAAGGCAGCCGCCTCCTGGCGCGTGACTTGGCCTGAGGGGACCCGCTCCTCCCGGCCTGGCGTGGGAGATGGGGACGGTGAGCAGGACATGGGGCGGCTGTGGCGGTCTCTGAAGTCTGACCTTAACCCTGCTTCGGATTTGAAGTCTGTAGCCAAGTCTCAGCACACCAGACACACCCTTAATCAAATATTACGTACACCAGCCACGTTTCCAAGGAAATCACGATGGTTTTGGCACTGCCTCTGCCTCTGCCTGATCACGGGCGCCCCGGCAGCGCCCGGAGTTGCCTGCGGAGGGCTTGGGCAGGGTTCTCAGGAGGGCGCGGGGCCGGGTGGCTGGAGCCCTGAGCCCAGGATGCCCTGAGGACGCAGTGAGCGGCCCTCCGGGGGAGGCGCGGTGGCTGCACATGCAGCTGCTGCTTATGTGGGGCCTTTGTGTGCAGTTTCGCCTCTTGGGTAGACACCCGGGAAAGGAGCTGTGGGGCTTTGGGTGTAAGTGTGCCTGAAATGTCCAGTTTTCTTGTGGCCTTCGACGCTGCTGCGGCGAGCATGGGGGCGGGGTTCGGCAGCTTCCCAGCCTTGCCACTCACTGCTGGGCTTTCCGCTTGCCCTCTGCCCAGTGCTGTGCCGTGTGCTTTTAATTTGCACTTTCCTGATGACTGATGGTGTCACACGCTTCCTAGGGGCCCACTCGCCACTCGGCTTACTTCTTCTCTTTTTTTTTAAGATTTATTTATTTATACAAGCATGGGGTACAGGCCAGATGCGCGGGAGGGTGCGAGGACTCACCAGAGACAGAGCGGGGAGCAGAACAGGAAGACTGACGACATACACTGCTGAGGGGAGCAGCGGGCGAGTCAGGAGAGGTCTGCCGCGCCATGTGGGAATCTCCCTGGCCGGTATCGAACCCGCGCTGCAAAGACTGCTGACAGCTTCACAGGCCTGTGCTCGATGTGCTGCGCCACCGGGGAGGCCCTCAACTCGCTTCTTTAGGAAAATACGAAGGCGACGATGAAGTGTCTTCTTTTGCATCCAATCTCCAATCAGCCACGGTCTGGGTTGTCCCCGGTTACTCACCACCCTTGGACCCACCGAGAACTTCTCAAATATCATGCGCTTGGAAGCACTTCCAGCTGCTTCTTTTTCCTCTGAGCTCAACTCAGACGTCACTGGCTGGGTGGGTGACACGTGGCCTCCCGTATGTAGAGTTGCTGTTTCTTTCCCTCTCGCTTCCGTGGGCCTGAGGGGCCATCCTCTTCCTCACGGGAGCCCGGGTGGCGCCCTGCTGCACTCTCGGCATTTCTGCACTTAGCACCCTGCCTGGCTGGGAGGCTGGGCCCATCATTGTTGAACTCTCTTATTGGCCGTTTGCCCCTCTTAGCAGCCCTGTGGGAAAGGCTGAAGGTGTCAGCATGACTCAGACGAGGACCTGAGCCCAGAGGGGTCAGCTGACTTTTCCAGGGGCCACATGTGCACTCTGGTCAGGGCCCTTTCCGTGACATTCTTGCTTTTACTCACGCTTCAAGCAGGTGTCATTGCAGGTGTGCTGTTCTTCGGCCCGCGGAGCCTGGTTGCGTGCGCCCGTGCGCCTGTACATGCAGACTCTCAAGGCCTGCGGGAGTTTTCAGGGAGTCCACCTGCAGACCCTTAGCTTGCGTGTGCAGTCACTCGAGGCGGCCCGTGCGGGACGGCGCCTTCCCCACCTCCCATCGGGCATGCTGCCCACCCGCTTCTCTCCCGGAGGGGCGCTGCTGCGCATTCTGGACGTCCCCGAGTGGTGGGACAAAGGCATCATTAGAAATAGCCGTGACGTTTGAAAGTTGTGACTGAATCAATCCAGGAATTTTGCACTTGAGGGGCTCCTGGTCGTTAGCAGCCACAGTCATTGAAGGAGGCCCTAATCCGGCTGTTAGAGGAGAATTGAAAAAATCACAATTTATGGCAGATTCTATCTGGACTGGTCTGTGTAGCTCAGAGGTGTCAGAATTTTCGGCATAACAAAGTGCCTTCCTCGTCCGTATACTGATTAGTATGAAGACGGTTTTGGGGTCTGCATAAAGAACCCCAAGAACACAATTAATGCTGGAACTTGTCTCATCCTAGCAATAACGGAGTCATCCACGAGTAAAGGTACAAATGAAGCCCTATATACCTAAGGTAGCATTTCCAAATAAAACTTGATATTAATAATCTTCATCAAAAACTAGTATGTTGTTTCCATTCTTTTTTTTTTTTTTTAAAGATTTATTTGTTTATTTATACAAGCACTGGGCACAGTCAGAAGCGCGGGAGGGTGAGAGAATTCACCAGAGCTAGAGCAGGGAGCAGAACAGGCAGACTGATGAAATACATTGCTGAGGGGAGCAGCGGGTGCGGCAGTAGGGGTCTGCGCGCCATGTGGGACCCTCGCCGGCGGCCGGGGATTGAACTGGTGCTGCAGAGGCTGCGGGCAGCTTCGCAGCCCAGTGCTCAGCCGCTGCGCCACCGGGGAGACCCTGTTTCCATTCTTTGTGCACTCGGAGTAGCTGTGCTAACTGCAGAAGCTTGTAACTTGCTATTCCCAGATGTGGAATAGATTCTCGTTCTCTGTGGCAGTTACGTTCCCCCAAGTCGGTGTGGACATGGAGCAGAGCTTGAGCCGTTATTCCTAGGACAAACACAGGGTGAGCTATGCCCTTCCAGATTCTGCAGATTTTTAAGGTGCTGGATAGTTTTAAGGGAACCCACTTGCCAATCAGCACAAAATCCGGCTTTAGGTGTATTTCCGTTTAACGACAGCTTATTTAACGTATAGTTATATTTATTTATTTATTTATTTTATTTTACTTTTTAAAAAGATTTATTTATTTATACAAGCACTGGGTACAGTCAGAAGCGCGGGAGGGTGAGAGAATTCACCAGAGCCAGAGCGGGGAGAAGAGCAGGCAGAAGGACCGAAGCACACTGCTGAGCAGCGGGTGAGACAGGAGAGGTCTGTGCGCCATGTGGGACCCTCACCCGGCGGCTGGGGATCGAACCTGTGCTGCAGAGGCTGTGGGCAGCTTCGCAACCCAGCGCTCAACCGCTGCGCCTCTGGGGAGGCCCTAATGTATAGTTTTAGAAATAACTAATTGCATGTACCATTGCTTTCTAAGAAGACACTACTTCAGTTACAGCACCACGTAGAGCCGACTGTGAATGGTGGCCCCGAGTGGCCCGCGCAGTGCCCACCTTGCTGTGTCCATGAGCGCGCACCGTGCATGCCGAGGGCACAGCTGTGCAAGAGTGCGAGCCCCGGGAAGCCTGCGGCTGCTGCTAAACACACAAAGCTCTACGAAACTGCTGTAGATGGGGCTGTGGCCTGTGTGACGGGGCACTGCCCCCGCGGGGTCTGACCTTGATCTTGGCCTGCGCCGTGAAAACCAAGGGCGTGGGGGAACTGGCTCCTCAGAAGAGGAGTTGCTGGGGGTCAGGGGCGGGGTGTGACATCAGGGGCTCGACGGCAGGACTGTGGCTTTGACTTGATGATGGAGTTTGTGGCTTTCCTTCCCAAGCTGGCTTGAAAAACTGCCTCAGTCTTGCCAGCTTGGCTTTTTGCCTCAAGTCTTTAGCAGCCTCTGCGTGAGGGACGAAGCCCGAGGAAGCCAGGCACCTGACCGTGAGGCCGTGGGCAGCACATACATTTGTTTGAAACAAGCCAGTCTCACCAGCAGTGAAAACCTGCTCTTCCATGGAAGCCTCTCCTTGTGTGACGCTGAGTGGGTGCTCCTTCAGTGCCTCTGCAGCCCCTGCTCTGCAGGGCCCGGCTCACCCGCAGGTTTGGCATTTTCCACGTAGTGACGCCTTTGGAAACGAGCCAGGCAGCCTGCGCTCGCCGGAAAGGGCTTGACATTCTTCTGGCCCTCTGGGCGACGTGCAGTAAATTTCTTTAGCTTTCAGCAGCACCACGACACTGTCCACGGTGTTCTTCTTATCAGCTGCTGTCTCACGCAGCCATAAGTTGAGCTGCTTTTCCAGCTTGTCCATGGCCGCGTCACGTACGACGGATGTCACCCTGGCACTTTTCTGGAGCAGCTTCACCGGCGGATCGGCGGCTGTCCCCTTCCTTTTTGTGGATGTACCTGATGGTTGATTCACTGACACTGGACTCACGGCCCACAGCGCTGTCGCTCAGGCCGGAGGAAGCTGAGCTCGTCTGCCGGCATGCCTTCCCTGCCAGGCGCCACAGCCTTCTCGCGCCAGGCGGGCGCGCAGCGCGTTGGCACCGGCCAAAGCCTAGGCGAGAGCCCAGCAGGGCACAAGGAGCTGACAAACGCGGCGCCAGGATCTCCCGCAGACACCACTGCGTGCCCGACGGGCGCAGGCCGGAGCGCAGGCCGGGCAGGCTCCCCACACGCCTGCGGAGGAGAAGGCGCGCTCGGGCTGTCCGGGGCACGAGCCCCTGAGGGGTTCCCAAGCAGGAGCTGCGATTCGCCTGTATTCACCCGTTTCCCGGCCGAGCCGGGCGGAGCGCGGGAAGGGAGCGAGGGCGGCGCGCCCTGACCGGCCCGCGGTCCCCCTGCGGCGGGGGGGGGGGCACGACCCGCCGTCCGCGGGGCGCCCGGGTATCCCGCGTCGCAAGGCCGTCCCGGCGCGCACCCCGCCCGCAGGCGCTCCCGGCCGCACGAGCGCGCGTCCGCTCCCCGCGGAGCCTCCGTGCGGGGGCGCGGGGGGCGGCGCGGCGGCTGTCCGGGCGCCCGGGGTGCTCCCCTCGCCGGCGCGGGGCCCGCACGGCGGGCGGGGGGCGGGGGCGGCCGGGCGGGCCCAGGGCGCAGGCGCGGGGCGGGGCCGGAAGAGGTCGCGCGTCCCGGCCAGAGGACGTCACTTCCGGCGCCCGCGCTTCCGGGTGCGGGCCGGGCCCTGGGATCGGCGCGCCCGCGGCGGGGAGAGGTGCGCGGGGGGCGCGGGGCCGGGGGGCGCGGGGCCCCCACCTCCCGCCGGCGCCCCCGCTCAGCGCGCTGCGCCCCTCTGTTGCAGGTCTTCCCGGAGCCCCGGAGCGAGAGCGAGTGCCTGAGCAACATCCGCGAGTTCCTGCGCGGCTGCGGGGCCTCCCTGCGGCTGGAGGTGAGCGCGGGGCGCGGGGCGGGCGGGGTGGGGGGCGCGGGCCGGGCGGGGCGCGGGGCGGGCGGGGTGGGGGGCGCGGGCCGGGCGGGGCTGCGGGGCGCCGACCGGGAGGGGCTGCGGGGCGCGGCGCGGGGGCGGGCGCAGTTGGGGGGCGCGGGGTGGGCGGGGCCCTAACGGTCGCGGCGGCGGCGCCCCGAGCCCCCCACGCGCCGCCGGGTGTGGGCGCCCCCGCCGCGGAGCGAGGCCTGTGCGAGCCCCGCGCGGCCCGGCGGCGGAGGAGCGGTTCCTGCGGCTGGGGTGCCGGGGACGCGCGCGGCCACCCCCCGCGGGTCAGGGCTGCGGTTTGGGGCGCCGGACTGGCTTTAACTGGCCTCAGGGGTCGACCCGCGCCGGCCCGAATCGGCCAGCGTCCTCAGGAGGCGGCCAGGCAGAGCTGGGCGGAGGTAAAATGGACTCCAGGCGCGCCCAGCCGCGGTTCTTTCTCTTCCTCGGGCTGCAGGCCGGCTGGGTCTTACTGGGTCCTGACGTCCAGTGTGCGGGCAGAGAAGGGGTCCCCGTGTCGGGGGAGCGCGCTGGGCGGGATGTTGCCAAGGCCTGGTCAGGCCACGTACTAGCGTCTCGGTGGCAGCTCTGGAAATGTCCAACTTACTCTGCAGATGGCACCTCAAGTTCAGGCGTCTGGCCTTTACTCGCGGGTGAAGGCTGCTGGGGAGCGCTGGGCTCAGGGATTTTGTCTGCCGTTCCCCGGGGCCTCAGTGCCACGCCTGCCCACTGCCAGTCCTGCCACAGCCTGCTGGCGGGGCCTCCACTGAGGCTTTGCCTCCTAGACTGGGTGAGCAGCAGCTTCCCAGCTGTGAAGTCCTGGGATTCGCCAGGTGGCATAGAGAGCGCGTCTGCTGTTGGCAGCACGTGTAGGAATTGATAGGTGCAAGTGCCGTGTCTGTGAGTGATTGCAGATGCTCGTCTGCTTTACTGCCGGTGGTGCTTGATGTTGGCCAGGAACTCATCTACAGATAAGGGGGAGCCCTCCTGGGGGGACTCTGGAAACCACGGGGTTATAGAGGGCAGGGAAGGGCGCTTTAGAAAGTCCTCCAGGGTTCTGCTGTCGCTGAACTCCTGTTGCTGGGATAATATGCGTTGCTCGTAGCTTTTTTACTTTTTCTGCACCTTGTCGTGGGATGGAGTTACTCTCTTCAAACTCTCCTTGGGCCCCATCAGCTGCTCCTTTCAACGCGCTGTCGGCTCCCCGCTTCCTGAGCCGTTTCTGCTGTCACAGTGAGTGTGGAACTCCGCTTGCACAAAGATTTTATCTGGCACTCAGTGTGACACTTTTAAGTAGTTTTAAAGAAATTTGAGTGTAAAAATGTCTTGTCCTTAGTTTTCCAAATGTTGCTGTTGCGTTGTTTACAGTAACTACTTTTTGTGATTGGGAGTTTACTTAGGGATGTTCCACCAGAGCGCGTTCATGGACATACCTCCTTGATCCTGTAGAGCAGCTTGTTGCACATGTTGGGTCTTCAATAAATACCAGCAATGGATTAAATGAGTTTGAAGTTGCAGTTCAGAGCAAATTAGTTTCTTTTTTTAAAAAAAGGTCAGGAGTTATTTTACGTTTTTATGGCGCTAATGTGTCAGGAAATTTAAAAGACACACGTTTTGTTAGCATTCTCTCAAGCTCAGCTGTAAGTCACTTAAAACCTTCGTTATGAAAAAGATGAGAAAAGGGAAACAGCACATAAAGAAACCTTATGTTGTAGGGCCACCCTGGTGGTGCAGGGGTTAAGTCTCAGCGCTGTCAGGCTATCGCCGGCCACTACAGCCTGAGCTTGATCCCCGGCCAGGGAGCTGACCCACACAGCGCAGCAGACCTCTCCTATCTGCCCACTGCCCCCTGCGTGTTTTTCAGTGGGTCTGCCTGCTGTGCTCCCCACACTATCTCTGGTGAGCCCTCTCACCACCACCACCCCCCGCACCGCTGGCCTGTACCCCAGTTCTTGTTTGCCTACACAAATAAAATAAAAAAAAAACAGAAAATCTCATGCTTTTCAGTCATGTGGATTTTTTAGGAAATTCTCCTGGAAAGGGAGCTCTGCATGGCCGGGCCCTGCCTTGGACTCCAGACTCCTATCCATGGTGAGCGGCAGGCTGGGGCCCGACAGGAGCTGCCTGTGCGCCGCTTCCTGGTGTTTTTGAAGGAGCAAAAACACCACGCGACTGGCAGCGCCCCGCCACTGCGGGTTTTGGCGGGGAGGGGTCACGGGAGTGCGGCGGACAGGGCGTTTCCGTCCCGAGTTAGCCAGAGATGCCCCGGCTGTGCGGCCCTGCCAGGTCACCTGGGTGCAGCGCCCGCTCGGGGCTGGCCTGTTGGCTCGGGGCGGTTCTTCCCCTTGCACGTGCGCGTTGCTTCCCGCGCCTTCTGCGGGCGGGCCGGGCCTGGGACTGCAGGCCGGGCCCAGCGCTGCCGCTTTGTGCTTGGCGGCATCAGCGGACACATTGTGCCGGTGGCAGGCGCTGGCCGTGGTGCCCAGGCAAGCCTGACTCGGCTGTTTACTCGGGACGATGGCAGCATAGTTGTTTACTCATGGCCGGCAGCGGGCCCTCCCCCGCCTGAGTGTTAGGGACAAGACCCTGACTGCACGGTGCCGCCCGCGTCTGTGGCGCAGAGCCTCGGTATGTTTGTGGGTGAACAGTCACGTCTCGCTCATGCCAGAGGCGCGCGGGCATTTGACAGCACGGGCATGCCCTCCATGCGCGCACACGTCGGCCTCTTAGCTGGGGTCTGGCTCCGGCTTGGCCCCAGGCCGTCGCGGGCAGCGGCAGCTTCTCTGCGCAGTTTTCCAGGGAAGTCCGAGTCCAGCGCTTCCTGGGAGTGACCAGAATGGGTGTCTTGAGGGTCTGCAGGGTACGTGTTGTTCTTGATTATTTTGCAGGATGTGTGATCTCTCCCCGCCCCCACCAAGCGGCCCGACCCCTGGGATTCAGACCCCGGCCCTTATTCGCCATCTGGCTGAGGATCTCACCTGTGGTGCTGCTGTGTGGCTGTCCCTTGTGGCCTCAGCCTGGTGTCCTGCCGGTGATGAGGCCCGAGGCCCACCTTCCAGAAGGTTGTGCCCAGGAGCCTGGCCCCAGCGGGCAGGACTGTCACAGTGTGGTCTCTGTTCGCCGCCCCGCATACTCGCAGTCTCTGTCCCAGCGTTGGACTCCCTGAGAGGCCTGAGTCGTCTCTGCTGTGACTTGTCAGCAGATCACGGTGCGTGCCCGGGCCAGGTGCCGTCCCGTGCCCTCCCGTCTAGTGCCTGGCTGAGCTGGTGGCAGCTCTCACTTCTGCTGAGAAGCTGGGACAGGCTCGGGTTGTCATCTTCCCCGTAATCTGTTCTCATTTAAAAGGATGTGAAGAAAATCCCAGTTGGTCTTGTAGGAGGTCCCCCATTTCCAGGCAGGTGTGTGCCCTGAAGCCTTTGCATTTCAGGGGAGTCCTTTACACCCTGGGGACCAGTGGGCAGCCGGCTTCCCAGTGAAAAGTCGCACAGCAGCCCCCTGGCCTTGTGGCCCACGGTTACATGTGGATCTGTATTGAACTTTTGAAAACTAGCTCCCTGTGCAGCACGTCCTCGCCTGCGTGTGCTGTCCGTGGGCTGCGCTTGCCCTTGGGGGCTAAGAAGTCTGCTTGGCAGCGGCCACGTGGGTTCTCGTGCGGGAACAGGTTCCTTGGCCCCTGGGGTGCTGCTGAGTCTGGGGAGGTGTGGCGCAGCGGGGTGGTCTGCTTGTCCTTGTTTCCAGGGGGCCTGCGGGGGGTGGTGGAGTGCTGGCATTTCCATAGAGAGAGGCGGGGTGGTGAGGGGCACCGCCAAGAGAAAGAGTGGGGACACTCCTGTGACCCCCAGCTCCTCTTGACCGGGTGGCTTCCAGGTCCCCGAGCTAGCGTGGGGCTGGCAGGAGGGTGCCATCACCGGAGACCAGGGTGAGCGCAGGGACATGGCCGAGCTGGTGTCGGGGGCAGGTTTGTGGGGTTCCGGGTGTCTGTGGGCTGTGGGGAGGGGCGGGGAGTTCCTGGAGGATACATGTGGACGTCGCCCGTGGTGCCTGCGGTCAGGTGGCAGCTGAGAGGAAACTAACATAGGATCTGGGACGCTTAATTGCGAAGTGTTCGTTTCCTATGCATCCGCTGTCATCTGGGGGGTGACGGGTTGAAGCCGCTGGTGTGGAGAAGGGTGTGTGACACAAAAGTCACTGATGAGCGATCCGTTATCCTGCCCCCCCTGCCGTCCTGCCCAGCCCCTGCCCGCCAGGGCTCCTGTGTGCTGCCCGTGGCCAGGGCACTTGCGGTTGAGCTGGAAATACCTCTCAGCTCGAGTTTTGTGCCCATTTGCTTGCAGGTTCACCGTGGAGCCGTGTGTGCGCCCTGGCGGCTCTGCCCTTTGCTGCACCCTCCTCCGCCCCCTGGCTTGCCCAGGCCTAGGAGTAGCCTGGGTCCTGTGCGGGAGAGGTGGCTCCGGGTGGCCTGGGTTTCTGGGTGGTAGTGCCCCCCTTCTCTGCGGGCTAGCGTGCGTGAGAGACAAATGCTTCCGCACCCCGCCCCATCTGCTCCCATACCCCCACCTGCAAGGGGCTGGGGAACCGCCACACAGAGCCAGGCCTGCTTCAGTCCCCCCCCCACCCCGCTGCAGCCCTGTGGGTGCATCTTTGCGCCCCTGAAGCTAACGCAGGAGCTGGCCGCGTCTGCCCAGGCCTCCGTCCTGGGATGGGGCGCGCGGGCCTCAGGCTGGTGCCAGGGCTGTGTGTTGGGAGACGCTGTGTGAGACTTGATTGTCCCTCCGGGGTGGGAGCGTTGGAATGAAGGACAAAATCTGCAGCTGCCCCGGGGTGAGCATCCCCTGCTGGGCCTGTTTGTCGCATGTCCCTACAGCGTGGGCCCTGAGCTGGGGACGGAAATAGCACAGCCAATTTAGGACTCGTTTTACTCCTCTTTGTCTGAAATCACAAATTCCATTTGACGATGTGATAGGACAAAAATGTATTTTTAAACTTTGCGAACCACACTCCAGGACTGTGCCAAAAGTAACAATTTCTTACATCAAAAATAGCTCCTTCATGGACTCCCTGGAGGAGCTGACCTGGCCGCTGCCTTTGGAAGGTTCCAGCCCTGGCCATGGTGGGCGTGGAGCTGGCCCTGGGGTAGCGCCTCCCCGCGAGGACTGGGTGCTGGGAAGGATGCCTTCTCCGTTCCCTGCCTCTCTTCGGGGTGCACCTGGGGCAGCCGGGGCCGGCGTCTCGTTGGCGTGGCGGGGGAGGGTGAGGAGCAGGTCTGGGTGTGTTCCCCTGTGTGGGGTCCTGGGAAGGTGAAGCGCCGAAGAGCTGATTCCCGGGACACAGGGGCCGTGCTCTCGGCAGCGCTGCTCCCGGGAGCCAGGCCTGGGCACACCCCAGAGCCCAGGGACCCAGAGCGGCCTGCAGCTGTGACCTGCCGCGCTTTCAAGGCTGGTCCAAGCCCCGCCATCCGCAGAGCCTGGATGGGGCTGGAGCGGGGAGCTTGGTGGCGGCAGGAGGAGCAGGACAGCTGCGGGGCCTTCACACCCGGGAGGATCCCGAAGCTCCACCAGACCCGCCCGGCCTGGTAGCTCTGACCGCGGGGGTGGGGGGGGGCAAGGGGCCCAGTGGGCAGCAGAGGGTGACACACGCGAAGAGGTGTGACCTGTTCCCCAAGCCGCGCGGGGTTGGAAGCCACCGCTCCTGCGGGGAAGCGTCCTGCGGCGGGCGGCAAGGGGTTGGCGTCCGTCTGGGGGCCTCGGGTGCTCTCTGGGCCGCGCTGGGGCGGGGCTGCCGCCGGGCGCCTGCAGCTGCGAGCAGAGCCTGCTGTGTCCTCGGCCACGTCTGTCTGCCGTGTGGTGTGTTCCCCCCGTGAGGGAAGTGTTGGGGTGATTCTGTCACATCCATGCAGGCGTGTTGTGCTTGGATGCCCTGCCCTGTTGTTGGCCTCGTGGGGTTCGCGGTCTTCAGCTGAGCTTCGGGGTGCTCTTTCCTTCCTTGGAATAGTTTTATCTCCTGCTTTTCGTGGAGGAGTAAACCCGGCCTTGGGGCTTCGCCCGGGCCCTTGGCGGGCGGCCCCGGTGCAGCTCTTCTGGCGGGTGCAGCCGGAGGAGCCCCGTCCTCTGCCCCCGTCGGGGCCCAGGGTGGGTTAGGTCGGTCAGTCCCCTGCCGGGTGTCAGTGGGTGCCAGGAGGGCCTTTCCCGGTGGGGGAAGGGGGTTTCCCGTTCTCCCTCCCCTTGCCAGGGGCAGGCGTTACCCCTGCCGTCCAGGGCCTGCACCCCCTGCCGGCATCGCTGTTTGGGTTTGAGATTGGGCATCCTTCACACCATTTTAAAAGTGGGCTGGGGCGGGGTGGGGTGGGCCAGAGCCCCAGCTGAGGGTCGCGTGTGAAAGGCATGGGTAGTTGAGAGTTGTATGTGGGGGTGGGGGTGGCAGTGCCACGTGTGGCCTTGGGGTGCAGCGAGCTGACCCTCGGGGCGAGTTCCCTGTGAGAGACTGCTATTGGGGGTAGGGGAGCATGGGGCGGAACCCCGTGTTTGGAGGAAGGAGGAAGGTGGTGATTTGTTGGGGTGAAGCTGGAATCTTGATGCGGGTCCGCGGGGGTGGGGTGCGGTGGGGACACAGGGTGTGCGTTGCATGGTGTGCCGTGTGTGCGCTCCGCCGAGAATGGGGCGGGTGCCCGGGGTGCAGGCGTCTGAGGGCCCGCCGCGCGCTCCTCGTGCCCGCTGGGCGCCTTTGCCCTGTGTCCTGGATGTTCCAGGTTTTGCCTTTGGCTGACTCGGTTCCTGCCTCTGGCAGCGCCGAGCTCCACGTCAGCTCCGACCTCAGCGCAGGCCCGCGGGGCGCTTCCTGGTGTCCGGCGGAGAGGCCTGCAATAACAGGAAGCGCCGCTGCTCCGCGTCCTGTCTGCCTGGGTCTGCGCCTCGCGGCCACCATGAAGGTCAGTGCCGGCCTTTGTCTCTTTCCGCGGAGCCGCCACGTCTATCTCCCAGGCTCTGGGCCCCTCGTGTCTCCTGCGCTCTCCTCCCAGGCGAGGTGGGGCTGCCGGCTCGCTGCTCCCCGGGTCTTGGGCTGTGCGCTGGGCCCAAGCACAGGCGGCCGCCACTGCCTCAGGCCGAGCCCGGCAGCTGCGGGCCAGACCCTGTGGGATGCGCCAGGTGTGCAGGCCCCACTCGCTGTGGCCTGCGGGGGCCGCGGGGCCCCCAGAGTGTTCCCTCACTCGACGTCTGAGAAACAAGCCAGAAGACAGTACGTCGAAGCTGACGTGCGAGGGTTGTGGTGCGGAGCGGGCGGCCGTCGGGGGCGTCTGCGTCTGTTGGGTGTGTCTCTGCCGCAGGCCGGGCCGGGCACACGCTGTCCTGTGAGGGCGTGGGGGCCTGCCAGGGGAGGGAGGGGAGGGGAGTCGGGTAAGGACAAGGTAGCCAGGCTGGGGTGGGGGGCAGGAGGGTCCCCCGGCCCTGGCAGGTGGCGGGGCTGCACGGATGGGCAGGAGGATGGCACCGGAGGACGTCCCCACGCCTCTCCCGGTAGGCGCGCGGCGTCCGAGGACATCTGCTGTGCTCTCTGGCTCGTCCTCGTGGTTTTCCTGGCAGAGTTGCGGGTGGTTGAGGATTTGTTTCCGCCCGAGTGTCCGGCCACCTCGCGGCGAGCCTGGCAGCGAGCTCTGTGCGCTTGCTCGCGTGCGCCACGGGCCTGCGGCTGCTTCCGCCTGTCCCTCGGGGGGCTGACACTGAGGACCGGGGCTGGGCCTGGCCTGCCTCAGCGCTGTCCCCTCACACCGGGGCTCCAGGCCTCCTCTCAGCCTGTGGCACAGACGTCTGCTCCTGTCTCGTTGCTGTCAGCTGGAGGAGGGCGGGTGGAGGGCCAGGGTCTCCGGCTGGAGGCCTGCCTGGGCTGACGGAGGCGTGCAGCAGCGTGGGGCTGCGCGGGGGGCGGGGGGGCTGCACTGAAGTGGTGTCTCCTGCCCCAGGTCAGGACCTGGTCCCTTCCTGTCGCTTCCAGAGCCTGCGCCTGCTCCGGGAACACGACTCCACTGATTGTGCTTATTTGATGTTTCTTTTCAGACGTTCGATGCAAATGATTTGTATCAGGGGCAGAATTTTAGCAAAGTCCTCAGTTCCTTGGTGACGCTGAATAAAGTAACGGCAGGTAAGACGCGGCAAACTCAGGGGCGTGGGCGGGGAGAAGAGTCTCGGCTTTTCCGTTAGGCCGACGAGCATTGTTGAGATCAAAAACTAGCTTCCGTGGCGTTTAGTTTGGGGTTGTGGCTTTTGCTGTGACAGCTGTTGTCTCCTCTTTGGGTCTCTGCTCGCAGCACGCTGGGTGCTGAGCTGTGTCCAGTCAGTGCCGGCCCAAGCCAACGTCTCCTGCATGGGTCTGCTGACTCCCTGTGGTCACAGCCCACGAGTGGCTGGTGAGGTGGCCCTTAACACCCACCTGGGCCAGTTCCCTAGGGCTGCGGGGGCCTCCAGGCCACTGGCGTGCAGGGTCGGGGCCCACTGTCTCCTCGGTGGGAGAGCATAGCGAGGGGCTCCTGGGGGCGCTTCCTGGGGCCCAGGGCCAGGCCAGGTTCTGTGCGAGTCCCCCCTGAGCTCGGCCCGCTGTTCCGTGGGCATGGAGACGGCCCAGCTCAGGGGCCTGCTGTGTTCGGGATTTTCTGTTTGCCTCTGTGGCGTGAGGCTTCTGATGGAGGGGAAGTTAGACCCGGGTGTGCCTCTCTGGGTCGCTGGCCGAGTTCATTCTTTTTTTTTTTTTTTTTTAATAGAGGCGTGTTTTTATTTATTTATTTGTTTGTTTGTTTTGTTTGTACAAGCACTGGGCACAGTCAGAAGCGCGGGAGGGTGAGAGAATTCACCAGAGCCAGAGCGGGGAGCAGAGCAGGCAGAAGGACCGAAGTCCACTGCTGAGGGGAGCAGCGGACGGCAGGAGAGGTCTGCGCGCCATGCGGGACTCTCCTCCGGTGGCCGGGGAGCAGCCGGGGATCGAACTGGCGCCGCAGAGGCCGCGGGCAGCCTCGCAACCCAGCGCTCAACCGCTGCGCCACCGGGGAGGCCCTTCCCGAGTTCATTCTGTCAGAGCCTCCCCGCACTGAGGCCCGAACACCCCTGGACGGGCCTGACGGGCCTGCACAGGGCTGGCGCTCGGCTGCCCTGCTGTGGCCTCGTCAGGGGCGGCGTCCCGAGCAGCCCGCCCCCTCCGCCAGCCCAGCCCGGGGCCAGGTGCGGCCGCACTTGGATAACTTGTCGGGTGGGGCTTGACACGGCCGTCTCGGGGCCGTCAACACGGAAGTGTCCAGTGACTTGCCGAGTGGGGACCCCCCTGCCCGAGCAGGTCTGAGGGAGGCCGGGGCTCCAGGTGGACGTGGTGTGCAGACGAGACAGGCCCAGCGCCCGCCGCGCTCTGTGGAGGTCGTTGGCCGGCCCGGCCATCTTCTCTACCCAGCGGCGTCCCTCTCGCAGGGGAGACCAGACTGTAGGAGGAAAACGAGTCACGAGCTGGCGAGGTCGCCCAGCCCTGGGACAGAAGAGCTCCCCGAGGCCACTGGGTCCCGGCATCACAGACAGGCGCCCTGAGCAGCGGGCACAGGCCGGCCCTCCCCCAGCGGGTCCCTGTACACCCAGTCTGCCTGGGCGGTGTGTGCCAGCCACCTGGCTCTCTGGGGCAGGCGGGGCAGGGAGACAGGACGTGATCCCTGCTCCCGCACGCCTGTGCCCCGTCAGTGGGAGTAGATGGCCAAGCGGACCTGACCCCAGAGCTCCCGTTCCAGGGCAATGCCAGTCGGCGCGGGGCGCACCCACACAGGGTGTGGCCTCAGGCATGCGTCAGGCTCCGTGGCTGACAGCCTTGGATGGCGCTGGTGGGTCCAGCCGGGTCTCCGCGCTGTGGCGGGCGGTCAGACCCAGCTGGAGCCCAGCGTCCTCAGCTCTCTCGCCCCCTCTGGCTGCACCGTGGTGGGACGCCCAGCCAGGGCCGCTCCTTCAGGGCCCATGAGCCCTGCGCCGCTCCCGCTTCGGCTCCAGGGTGGCTGCAGGTTGGGGTCCTCTTGGGGGCTGTGGGTGACGATGGTGTCAGAACATGGGCAGCTTGGGCGGGGCCCTCCCCCATACCTCAGGAGCTGTGGGCGGCCCTCTCTGCACGGCGCTTCCTGAGCAAACTCCCCGTGGCCTCGGGACTTTCCTTCCAGCCACGTCACTTCCAGGACGGGGCTTGCCCCTGGCTGCCTGCCGAGCCCCCTGGTCCTGTGCGGGGCAGAGCATGGCCGCCTCCACCAGGGGGGCAGCTGACAGGAGCTTCTCCAGCCGACAACGCGGAGTCTGGCGTGGGCTTGAATGAGCGTCCTGTCCCTTGGGTGCAAATAGTTCTTGCTGCTGTGGGTGTGCCGTGGGGCTGGGTGATGTCCAGGGGTCAGCGCTTCGAGGGGGTCACTTTGCGGGTGAGGGGAGAGTGTCACAATCAGAAAATGTTTCGCAAACCTGAAGGCTGCCCTGGACAACTGGTGACTCGGTCCTTCCAGACGGCTCTGGAAAGGTGATGGGGGGGAGTGAGGCCCTTTGGTGCACAGAGGACGCCTGTTTGCAGCATCAATGGCCTGCTTTGTGGCAGCCCGGGTGTCCCTCAGGGCCACCCCGCGGGGTCTGGCGTGCGTGGTGGCGGGCGTGTCGCTCACTCTCCCCTGACCTTTGCAGACATCGGCCTGGGGAGCGACTCTGTGTGTGCCCGGCCCTCGTCTCATCGCATCAAGTCCTTTGATTCCCTGGGGCCCCAGCCGCTTCACAGCCGGGCTTCCAAGTTGTTCCAGGGCCAGTATCGGAGCTTGGTGAGTGGAGTGGTGGTTGCGGGTGCGTGTGGGTGTAGGTGTGCCTGCGGGGCCCCTGTGCCGGGTGCGGCTGCGCGGGAGGGCTCTCTGACTCCCTCGTCCGTCATGCGCCCCCCCCCCCCCCGCCCCCTGGTCTGACTCATGTTTGCGAGCCGCGTGTCGTGCTTCAGATGGGGGTCTGGTTTGAGAGCTAAAGCTGTCTGGACGATGCTCTGAGCTTGCCCGGCGCTTGGCGTCGGGACAGGGAGCAGCTTACCTGCTGGGTGCGGGGCCGGCTGGGAAGAGGCTTCCTTCGGAGTGGGATTAGCCGTGCTGTCCTGGGTGGCCGCGGCAGGGGCTGGTGGGCAGGGGAGCCCGGCCGCGGCTCGCTGGGTCAGGTGCCTGCAGAAGACCGCGGGCAGCAGGTGCTGGTGAGCGCTGGCAAGGACGAGGCGCGGGCTGAGAACGTCCCCGGGGTCTGGGTTGTGCTTCGGGGGGACGGCGCTTAGTTCCGCTAGCTGGGGGCGACGTTGCTGTCACACCAGAAACGGGCGATCTGGTTGCGAGCCCGAAGAGAGCTGAGTTTGGCGAGTTTTTAAGGACACGGCTTCTGTCTGCTTTCCGCAGAGGGGAATGAGCTTGAGCAAGCGGCGTGGCCAGAAGAAACCAGAGCCGCGTGGCCAGCCCCGCAGCGCAGACGCACTGGCGCGCCGCTCCCAGGCCGTGGGCTGTCCCCGCCGTGGAGCCGCTCGGCTCGCTATTGCTGCGGTGCCCGGGGGCAGTCCGTCGCCCGGGGTTGGGGTCTGCGCCGTGTCACTCCTCTGCTGGCCCAGCCCTGCTGGACAGGCGGGCAGCCCCGGGGGTGGTGGGCTTGCCCGGAGGGACCACAGCACACACTGCCTGCACCCTGAGTCCACTTTCGGGAGGAGCCCCCACACCCCTGGAGCGCTCCCAGGAAAGCGTCATGAGAGGCGCGAGGCAGATGGAAACGGGTGCTGGCAGCTAGGTGTGAAGACACCCCTGCGGTTCCCCTCAGTGCGGGCGTGCTCTCGTGCGCCCCTGGTGTCCTGAGGAGCAGGCCAGGCCGCCAGTGTGGGCACCGCAGCAGCGCATGGGGATGCTGCCCTGAGCCCCAGCGATGTCAGGCTTGGCTTTCTCAGTGTGCCGGGGAAGGAGGTAGGGAGGCTCTCCGAGGCCTGCATGGGCAGGCGTCCCTGTTGGTGACCGTGGGCCCGCCCTGGCCAGGACTGCCATGCGCCATGCTGGAAGGCGACCTGCTAGGGCTGTCTGCGAGCCGGCACCGGCACTCCCAGAGGCTGCCCTCCTTCTGTGCTGGGAGCTCTCCTGGCCACGCCGCCAACCTTGGACGCCATGTGTGCATCCTTCCTGGGAAGAAACCCCCTTCGAGACGGCCCTGCGCCCCAGCGGTGCTGTCAGGCTTCTCCTGGGCCAGCTCTGGCCACTGCGGCTGACCCCTCTTGCCGTGATGCGCGTGCTGCAGCGGGCAGCCTTCCTCTCACCGGAGGGGCCTCTGCTCACAGGCTGCCCACCGCACCCAGGCTTCCCTCACGGTGGGCCCCCCCACCTCCCACGGACCTGTGCCAGGGAGCGCCAGGGAGGCTGCACGGCCAGGCAGCCTGCGCCGTCCTTGGTGACTTTTCTCTGCCTTTTTCCCTTTAGGACATGACCGATAATAGCAACACTCAGCTGGTAGTGAGAGCCAAGTTCAACTTCCAGCAGACCAACGAGGATGAGCTCTCCTTCTCCAAGGGCGACCTGATCCACGTCACGCGCGTGGAGGAAGGGGGCTGGTGGGAGGGCACGCACGACGGCAGGACCGGCTGGTTCCCCAGCAACTACGTGCGCGAGGTCAAGCCCAGTGGTAAGTGGCCTCCCCAGGCGGGAGCGCGGGGCCGTCCTGGCTCTCGTGCCGTGGGCCGCATCCGCGCACAGGACTGCCCTGTCGACACCCTCCCTTCAGCCGGCCTTGCTCTCTCGCGGGGCCTTCAGGAAAGGGCGCCTGGTCAGAGAGCGGCTTCTCGTCTGTGCCGAGGTCGGCGGGCGTCGAGACTGCCCTGGGGCCGCGAGGTCCGCCCTTCCTGCAGCGGCCCTCTCACACCGAGTAGCTTTTGAGCCCCTTTGGGCCGCCGTAGGACTCGGGTTTGCGCCATCAGGCTGGTTGTTTAATGTTTACCACCGTGGCAACGCTCGCCTTGTGTCCAGTTGAGCTCTTCCCGCTGTCTTCTTTCTGCTGATGACGGTATTCCAGGGGTGTCGCTTTCCTGACGGGCCATGACGCTTGCCGTCGTGTGGAGATGCAAGCTGGTGCCCAGCTCGCGCTGGGGGAGGGGGCAGGGCAGGCTTTGCGCACCTCTCTGTTGCTGCTGGGGGGTGGGGCCTGCTGCAGGGGTAGGTGTTTCCTGAGTCCGGCGTGGCTGAGCATGGGCGGCGGTGCTGTCCTGTTGCCGGTGCTGGCAGAGCGTCCCAGACCTGCCTCTCGCTGGCTCCCCAGGGTGAGGTGCACGGCAGGTGTGCGAGTGCAGCTCTGGCCCCGCGTCACTGCGCTGGGGCAGGGGTCCTGACGCAGGATTCTGGGTCTGCCGCAGCCAGGCCCCACACCGACACAGGGTGGCAGCCTGCCTGGCACCCACAGCCGGCACTCACAGCCGCACCTGCCTGCCCTCCTGGCCACGAGCCCATCACCAAAGCGCCCCAGGCCCAGCGGGCTTCTCCCTGCCGTCTGCACAGACAACTGTAAATCCGTAGGCAGGGAAGCGCTCCCCCGGGGCGACGCGGGACACGGCAGAGGGCCCCCGCGCAGTGGCTCGCGGTGGCCTCGAGAGGGCCAGCTAGCAGGCCGTTCCTTGGCCTCGCGCCGTGTGCCTGAGGGCTGGGACCCCCCGCACGTGCCCAGTTGCGCCGTGACAGGCAGCCTTCAGGGCCCCTGAGCCCCGGGCTTCGTACGCCTGTGGTGCCAGAGACTCTGGCAGGTGCGCCTCCTCTCCTGCTGTGAGGACAGGGCCACGCTCTGCTCGCCGCGGCCCCCTCTTGGGCTGAGGCCTCCGGAGCCCAGCGCTCGTTCTGCCCGCAGCTCAAGTCCCCTCACCTGCTGCGCTAACCGGTCCTGTGAGTGGTCACTCCAGCGACCACGGTTACTTTTTCTGGAAGATTGCCTTGCTCTTCTCCAGGTGGGCTCTTTTTCCGGTGCCTTTGCACTCGTCACGGTTGGGTTCCTTCCCAGCCATCCTGGCCCTGCCCCACCTGCTCCATGGCCGTGTGTCTGTGCTTGGTTCCGCCCTGTTTTCTTTCTTCTGTGCTGTTTGGTTCAGCTTTCCAGGAGCCTGTGTTAGGGATTCTTTGTCAGGTGGTCACTCCATGTGGTTCTCTGGATCCCGAGATGCAGAAGTGGGCCTGCGGAGGAGCAGCAGCCATTCTTTGGGGGCTCCCAAAGGTGGTTCTTGCCTTGGGTAGATCCTGGAGGGCTCACAGGAGGTGGTGTCTGCTGGGGTCACACACCTTTGAGGCTGGACTCCAGGTGTTGGTTTCTCGCAGGCTGCACCCCATCCCTGCATAGCCGCCGTTCTCCCCTGCTGTCTCTCTGGATGCTGGTAGGCGGAAGCTTCAGGGCTCTTCATCGGCCATGTGAGAGAAGCCCCCACCCTTGCCCTTGGCCAGAGTGGTTCCCGGCTGCATCTGCGCCCTACACCACAGCCCGGGCTGCTGGCTGGAGCCCTGCTGTGTTTGCGTTCTCCCCTATTTGGCACCCAGGGTCCCCATCCCCTTTTTATTTTAATCATTCCTGTTTAAATTGTGTGGTCCCAGCATCTCCAGTTTATTGTCAAACTACTGCCTGCCTGGGGGGCAGGGCTGAGTCCTGTCCTCATCGTCTCCCCCGCCCCCCAGCATCCCTGAGCCTGTCCGATTGTAGCCATCGGGCGGACCGGAGACGTTTCTCTCAAGCTCCTGGGACGGTTGGGTTCTTCCCACTGTTTCCTGCGCGGGTTTCTCACCAGTGAATGGCCGCTCTGTCACATTCGGTTGGGGGGGGGGGGGTGGAAGTTCTAGAGGGTTCTCGTTCAGGCTGCACAGGCGCCTGCAGTGAACCTGGGCATGTGTCTCTGCTGCCTCCTCTGCTGCCTGTGGCAGTGAGGGACCGTCTGGGGCCTGGCCCCTGCACGCAGGCTGTGGCCCCTGGCCTGGAGCCTACCGCCTTCGCTGGGGGCAGCTCCTCTCGCACCCCATCTCCTGCAGGGCGCTTCCCCCTTGGTCCTGGTGGCTGCACCTCCCAGCGGCGGGTGAGCGTGGGTCCCTGGGGTCCTCAGGCCTGGCGTGGGCTCCCTAGGCTTTCTACCCCTGTGGTGTGCGTGTGGCTCTGCTCCTAAGGGAGCCGCGCCAGCTTGCGTGTGAGGAGCCCCTCTGCCTGCGTCTCTCCCCCCGTTTGCTCTTATGTCGCCTTAGCGGCCGGGCCTGCCTTCTTGGGAGGGTTTCCCCGCGCTGTGCGGTGCACGGGTGGGTTTCCCCGCAGCTGCGGCGGAGCGCGCGTGGGGCTGTCACCTGGGCCTCGTGTGGTGGGTCTTCAGCGTCGGTGGGAGAGGCAGTTGGACAATTCTTTTGCTTTTGCGTAGTTAACAGCCGACTCGGGGCGCTTTCAGCGGCGCTAGCTCCCCGAGCCCCGCCTGCTCTTCCGGGCGCCGGCCTCCACGGCCCCTCGCTGCAGCTTGTCGTCTTCCTCCCGAAGGGGGTTTTCAAGACGAAAAAGGCCTTGTCGCTCTTGGCATGGAGCTATTCCAGCCTTTTCTCCTGCGGCTGTCTTGGGCCACGGGTAGGCGGTTGGGAGGAGGCGAGTCTGCGGGCGTTGGTCCCCTGCCCTGCTCCGCCACGGGGGCCCTCTGGTGAGGCGCTGCGGCCCGTGTAGGCGACAGCACGCGCTGAGGCCGTAACGGAGACTGAGCAGGCACTCGGGGGGCCTGGCGCTTGGGAGGGCGCGCGCTGCGGGCCTCACGGGAAATACTGTGAGGACAGGCAGCGCGCGGTGGGCCTGTTGTCCCCGACACATTGGCGGCGGGCCGTGCCTGACGCCAGGACCCGTGGGAGCAGGGCTGCTGCTCGGAGGCCCTCCCGCCTTCCCCACAGCCCCAGAGCACGCGGGAGAGGCAGCCGCCCACCCATGGGGCTGATGAGCAGCCCGGGCCACAGGACTGGGGATAGGCCGCCCCACCGCCTGAGAGCCGTGGCGGCCACACTCCCTAACGTTGGGGAAAATGGACCCGCATCCCGCCAGCCAGTGCCCGCCTGCCCCTCCAGCTCCCCTCAGCAAGCGTCTCTCCACACCCAAGTGGGTGTGACGGGAGCCAGGAGTTTACAGCCCGCAGCCTCTCTGCCCCGCGCTCCGGGGCAAGCCGAGAGTATCTCCTTGCGCCCTGCCCATGGCTGCCGCTGGAGCCAGCACCTGCCTGTCAGTGCCTTTGCACCCTGGAGGGCCCGAGAGCGGAACCCAGACCAGGCACTGGTGCCCTCACATCGCCACGGGACCAAGGCTCTTCCCAGTGCTGTGCGTCACGCCCGGCCTGGCCTGGCGTCGCTCCACAGCGGCGTGCTTGTGGCTGACAACCCAGGGCGACCTCTGTCGGGTGTTCAGCACCTCGGGCTCCGCGGGCCTGGCCTCCTGCCCCGGGGAAGGGCTGGGGTTCGGGAAGGGCTGGGGTTCGTGGCGGTTGGATGGGGGCCTGTGGGGCTGGTGCTTGGGGCATCTCTCGTGGCTTCAGTAAAACCACCTCACATTTTCTTTGCAGAAAAGCCTGTGTCGCCCAAGTCGGGAGCCTTGAAGAGCCCTCCCAAAGGATTCGACACAACCGCCATTAACAAAAGCTATTACAACGTGGTGAGTGCCCGGGACGGCTGCTTCTGCTTCAGGCTGTGCGCACAGACCTGCACCTGTTCCCGGGGTAGCACACGGTGCTGGCCCCCTTACCTGCAGACCTCAGATGTGGGGTTTCTAGGAGGCATGGAGGGCAATTTTAACTTTCAGGGCCCTCGCTGTCGCTTGTTGGTGCTGGGGAGGACGGACGCGTGTCAGAGCGGGCGTCGGTTTCCTGGCTGGGCGGAGGCGCGCCTGACTCGCGGAGTTGCAGCTGCCGCGTGTTGCAGCCATTGGCATGTGGGAGAGGCGTATCCCAAGACTTGTGGGCCCCCAAGTTTTAGAAATTCTGATTTCTTTCAAAGCTAGGGTAGGGTCTCCCTGGTGGCGCAAGGGTTAAGCACCGCACTATGAAGCTGTCCGCAGCCTCTGCAGCACGAGTTCGATCTCCAGGCAGGGAACTACCCACAGGGCGCAGCAGACCCCTCCTGTCTCCCCGCTGCTCCCCTCAGCAGTGGATCTCAGTGGATCCGCCTGTTCTGCTCCCCACTCTGTCTCTGGGGAATCCTCTCACCCCCCGCATCTGTGGCCTGTACCCCAGCTCTCGTATACATAGATAAATAAATCTTTAAAAAACAAAACAAAACTAGGGTAAGAGACCTGTGTTTCTTTTGAGGTGCCGGCCCTGAGTAGTTACTCAAGAGGTTCAGCGGCCCACAAATGCGTTCAGCTGGCGCTGGCTCGTGGGTGCTGCCCGGGCCCCTGGGCGCCTGCTGGGAGCTCTGTTGGGAGGGCGTCCTCCAGCAACCTGGCCGCCTTCCCCATGAGGGGCGCACTGCAGCTGCGTCAGTTTAGTTTCTCTCTCCTCTTGTGCATGTGAGCCAGGAGTATGGCATTGACGTTTATTTTTAGTGTAGGATGGTCTCCGGCTCAGCTCGCAAATTTTTTTTTTTAAGATTGATTTATTTATGCATACAAGAGCTGGGGTACAGGCCAGAGATGTGGGGAGTCACCAGAGACAGAGTGGGGAACAGAACAGACAGATTCACTGAAATCCACTGCTGAGGGGAGCAGCGGGGAGACAGGAGAGAGCTGCTGTGCCATGTGGGTAGCTCCCTGGCCGGCGGGGATCTTGTGCTGCAGAGGCTGCGGACAGCTTCACAGTGCCGTGCTTAACCCCTTGTGCCACCAGGGAGGCCCTCCGCTCTCAAATCTTAGGCCAGCACCACCCACTTCTTACCTGTGAGTGGGTCACTCTGATGCTGCATCAGTGATGTGTGGACTGAAGCCCCGCCAGGCCTGCCTGCTGTGCGAGCCATGCCTCGCTGGCCCCAGGGGGACACCCCGTGCTTCTGCAGCATCCGTGTGGCCACGGCCCGGCACGGGGCCCTCTGCCGGGTCTGGCTGCCAGGACAGGCGGCTTGGGGCGGTCTGTGTGGCCGGACGGCGTCTCCTGAGTGCCACCATTGTTCAGCTGGGCCAAGCTCCACGCCCCCTGACTCGGCCGCTGGGCACGCTCTGGCGGGGCGGGCGCAGACTGCTCTTCCCTGGAAACCGCGCGTCCTCCTGTGCTCTGGCTCCTTGGGGTGCGCCGCGTGCCGCCAGGCTTCATGGGGTCCTGCAGCAGCCAGAACATGCAGAAGGGCAGACAGGGCAGGCAGGTGAGGACCCTGTGCTGGGGAGAGGCGGCTCCCTGGCCACTGCGCGGTGGCAGGAGGCCGGCGGTCCGGCGTCTGGCCTGGGAGTCCTGCCGGGGCGCCCCGCCCCTCCTCGCAGACCCGGCCCTGGCCAGCTGCCGGACTGACCGCTCTGTGTCGGCACGGCATGGCCTTTGGGGGAGGGGGCCTCTGGCCCGGTTCTGTCCAGCCTCAGCCCGGGTTCCCAGCTGCGTGTGCCTGATGTCACCGTGGGGCGCGTCCCTCTGGCCCCTCACATGTCCTCACGCTGGTGACCCGTGCTCCTGGGCCCATCTCCTCACGTCCCGGGGAGCTGCTCTGTCTGCAGTGTGCGGGGTGACCTGATGCTGCTGCTCCCAGTGCCGCTCTCCGCGTCTGAGACATGAAGTCGTGTGCTTCACCCCGCGTGGAACGCCGGGCAGCGCCCCCCCCTTGCCCATCTGTGACGTACTCGTTTTACTTTATTTGTAGCGTCAGGGCCTATTATTTTCCGCGGTGCACTGTCACGCTGTGTCCTCTGTTGCCAGCCCCTTGCCGTTTGCGTCCAGTGAGTATTTCTTTGAAGAGACGGGGTGATGGTAGGATCGGCACCCGCTCTCCCCACAAAGGAATGAGCTTGGGGCGGCCCCGCCTCCTCCGGCTGGCTCCACCGGGCTGTGTGAATGGACCCATTCAGGCCTGCTGGCCAGCGTGCCGGGAAAAGCCCTGTGACAGCGTCGACACGAGTTCCTTAACCAGGCGGCGCCGGCTCGGCGGCGGGCTCTCCCCAGCCTGGGGAAGCCGGACACACGAGCCCGTTGCTGTATCGGCGCTGGCGTGTCCGTGTACCGTGTACCTGGGCGCTGTCTTTCTCCTGGATTTTGGTTATTTCGTTGGCGGAGGTCGGGCGAGAGTGAGCACGTGGCACTGTCATCGCTGTGTGCGCTTCCTCGTGTGTGATTACTTCAGCCCGACTTTGGAGAGACAGCTGCACGTCTTAGTGCAGGTGGTGGATCCTCAGAGTCCCCTTAGAGCAGGTGCTGGCTCGGGGGGCTAGGAAGAGCACGGGGGGTGAGGAGGCGGAGGAGGGGTTGAGGAGCAGCACAGGGTGGGGGGCGAGGAGCAGCTCGGGGCGGAGAGGAGCGCGGGCCGGCCTGTACTCCGTGCAGCGGAGCTCCCCGTCGCGGAAGTGCACCGGCCTTCCTGCTCGCCGCCTGCTGGTCTCCAGGCGCAGCGCTGCCTCTGTCCAGGGGAGGGAGGGTCCGTAGCGGTCACTCGCTCTCGAGTGGGCACAAGCTGACTCCTGGCCCTGCCTCCAGGGGGCCAAAGAGGCCCCCCCTATGCCCCAGCCGTCTTACGCTGGGTCAGTCTTTCCAAGCCGTCAACTGATGGGCTTTGCTAACATGTCAGAAAGCATTTAATTATGCTTTTTAATTATTTTGCTATTTTTAAGTGAAGTCACGGCTCTACAGAGGTAGTGCCGCATGGCTGACCGCCTGTCACATGCATGCACACAGCCGGGGGAGCCAGGGCTGCCCTGCGTCCTGGGGGGGGGCTGCCGCAAGGGCTGGCTCCCGTCCGCCCAGCGCAGCTGCGTGACCTTTCCGTGGACAGACCCGCCAGGCCTGCGGCCGTGAACGCGTGCATGTGAGCGGGCCTGACCCGCACTGTGCCGCTCCCTCCTGCGTGCCCGTCCTGCCTGGAGATGGTCTTGCCTGTCCTGGAGGGTGCGGGGGCCTTTGGAGAACAGCTGCCCGTGCCGTGTGGTGTCGCAGGGCCCGGCCCGCCCCTGCTTCGTGGTCATCCTGTCCGTCGCAGCTGGCTTGGTGATGGTTCTGTGATGGCGGGACGCCCGCCAGCCTGGCCTGGGGCCACCGTGTTGGGGTGGCTCTGTCGGGGAGGCGGCGGGTCCTGGGGCCGGGACACACCGCTGCGGTGGCAGCTGAACAGAGGTGATGGCCTCTCCGGAGCTCACTTCGCATCTTAAACGTTGGCATCAGTCTTACTGTGTGCGCGTTGTCTTTCCCTGCAGGTGCTACAGAACATTTTGGAAACGGAAAATGAGTATGCGAAAGAGCTTCAGACTGTGCTTTCCACTTACCTGCGGCCACTGCAGGCCAGCGAGAAGTAAGTCAGGTGGCGACATGCCCATGGTTGCACCCTGGGGATGCCAGAGCTGGGGCCTGACCACGCGGGCCTGCTCGTCAGTGTGGCCTCCGGGTCCTGGGGGTGGTGGCAGGACGTGCGTACACCGTTCACGCGTTTTCACTGTGGTTCTTCCTGACTCTAGGCTGAGTTCAACCAATACTTCGTATTTAATGGGAAATCTAGAAGAAATATGTTCTTTCCAGCAAATACTTGTACAGTCTCTAGAGGAGTGCACCAAGTAAGTGAGATGCTGAAAACCTGGGGAACTGGGCTTGGTGTCGCTGGGCACGAGGGTCCGGTCACGTGGTTTTGGAATTCGCTGTTCTGAAGATGGAAAGGAGCTGGTTTTGGCTCGCGCGGGCATGACGCGCTAGTAAAAGCTGCTTTAGATTGTCCAGCTTAGGGTCCAGGGTGCAGCTCTGACTGGCAGGTGGAGCAGGGCCTGCACGGGCCGGGAGCGGGCGCCCCCCCACCTCCCTGTGCTGGCAGGCCGTGCTCCCGGCCGTCCTGAGGGCTGCGGGCGGCCTCGTCGCCGGTGTTTAGGGTGGACTAGACCCTCCGCCGTCACCAACCAGCTCTGTCTCAGGCCCCTCCTCTCTTGGAGGTTCCTCCAGTCACAAGCTGGGCCCCTGGCAGCCTGCCCCACTCTGCAGTTGAAGGGGCCCGGGCAGGACCTCGCCGGCACACGCCTGTGCAGTGGACGGCGTCACTCTCTTCCTCCAGGCACGAGCGTTGTGGGAGCCTGGGCCAGGACCGAGGCCCCTGGCTCGGCTGCAGGAAGGCGCCCCGAGGTGGGCTTCACCCTGGCTGAAGCCTGGGAGCAAGGAGGGGCAGGACATCAGGCCCTGGGGCCTTCCTGGGACTTGCGCCACGTCTTAAGAGTCTGTGGCCCGCGTGGCAGCCCCGTGAGCGGCCCTTGCAGAAATGCACGGCCTGCTCCGCCAGAGTGGGTCGGGTGGACGGGCCCTGTCTGAAAAGTCACCGATCGCGGCCTTTCGGGACGTGCTTTGTGACGGCAGGTGTGGGGAGAGGGCTCCGCCTCCCGCGCGTCTTCACTCTCCCGGCCCCTTCCCACGGAGAGCGCCGCGCCTCTCACGAGCTGTGAGGCCTTCCTCCCTTCCGTCTCTGGCTGTGGCTGCAGCTCCTCTGAAGTAGAGGGAGTGCCTGCTGCCTCCTGGGGGCCCTGGGGCTCCTCGCCCAGCGGGGGTCCCTCATGTTAAGGAGGCGCAGGGCTGCTGGGAACGGCGGTCTGCTGAAACTAAGCAGAGGGACACTTAGCTTTTTCTGGTGACAGAGGAGTTTACCGGCACCTCAGAGAACGCCGGAAGCCACGAAACAGGAAAAAGTGAAAGCAGGTGCCGCCTCCTTCCCGCATGGAGGCGACGGAGTCTGCTCCCCTCTGCCCGTGGCCTGGGCTCCAGGCTCGGGCTGGTGTGGCGCCCGCCGGTGGGTGGGGTGGCCAGGGCAGAGCAGGACACCGCGGAGGAGCCGTGTCGCTGAGCGCTCTGGCCCTCGAGGGGGCGGGGCTGCCTCCCACCCCCGCACTGAGATTGGGGGCATGCCGCTTCCGTGAGTGGGGTGGCCGGCGCAGGCCCTGCCGTGTGCGGGGTTGTCAGTTGGAGACCGCCACTGTTCTCCGTGGCTTGCGTGGTTTAGCCCGTTCCGCCCTCTCAGTGAATGAGGAGGCAGGTTTGAAGGGGAGGCCGGCAGGGCAGAGAGTCTGAGTGGCTCTCCCAGGGGCACGCGCGGTGACCGTGGGGACTGAAAGCGCTGGTTTCCAGAGTCCCCGGAGCCGCGTGGCAAGGCCTTACCCCCCCCCCCCCCCGCCCCCAGCGCTGCGCGGCTTTCCTGGCAGCCACCTGCTTGCATCCTGTGGCTGCTGTGAGGTCTGTCTCCGGGCAGCTGGGCCCTCCTGTCCTCTGTAGAAAGGGTGCTCGGCTGTTGTTTGGTTGGGGGACTCCCCCAATACTATGCTTCGCCACTTTCTCTGGCCGGTTTCTGCAGGGAGAGTAGCAACCCCTCTGGTGTCCTGCCTTGAAGGATGTGGTCTTTCCAGTCAGGGCTGGGGGCTCTGGTGGCACTGGACTTGGGGTGCAGGGCTGCGACAGTGTCGTCCTGCCCACGGTAGCAAAAGGACCCCACTCCCAGTCACTTCCAGCTGGCACCTGGTGGTCCGCAGAGACCAGCACCGGGGCTCCCAGCGGCCTCCCCCAGACCCATGCTCAGGGCCCCACCTGGCCCTTGGCTGCGTTGCATTGGGCTGCACAGGGGCTGCCGCTCCTGGCGTGGTTGTGTGTGGCACGCTCTGCGGTGCGGCTCGGGACGGGGTGGGCTGCCCGGGCGCCTGATCCAGCCTTCACCTGCGGGAAGGCGGCGGGTGTTTTTCGTGCGCTGCCATGGGGCCGCTTTAACACAACGTGATGACAGCCAGCTCGCCCTGCTGGGGGGTCTCCGCGGCTGCTGCCAGAGGCGAGGCTTTCTGGCCGTGGTTCCTCCCAATGCCCGCGGAGGTGGGACTGGGGTGAGTGTGCGCAGAGGCTGGCGCTGGCTGGCTGCGACTTCACGTGCCTTGGGGGCTGTGGCGCGTACCCAGGACCCCTGCCACACCATGTGTCCTCGCTGGGCCCTGGCCCATCTGCTGCTGCTCACCGAGGATGTCTCCCTTTGCTGTCTGCAGGTCGCCTGAAGCCCAGCAGAGAGTTGGGGGCTGCTTTTTAAACCTGATGCCACAGATGAAGACCTTATACCTCGCGTACTGTGCCAACCACCCTTCGGCAGTGGGCGTCCTCACGGAGCACAGGTGCGTATCCCGCCTTCCTCGCGAGGCCCCGGGCCTCTGTGTCCACCTCCCACCTGCCGGGAACCAGGCCCTTGCTCTCACCAGGAGCAGGTGGCTCAGGGCCCCTTGGGAAGAGCCATGGGGGGCCGCGCGCTCATGGTGTGGTGTGACCGAGTTGGGATTTGCCGTCTCCCCTTGAGCTCTGTGGCTGCGAGGCGGAAGGAGCTGCCGGTGCTGGGTCGCAGCTGCCGCCCTCGCTTCCCAGCGCGAGGCCCGGGGCTGTCAGAGAAGTGCCTGTTTCTGGGCAGGGCGGGCTCACAGGCTGAGCATGCAGCTCTAGCTCGTCAGTGGAGACACAGTTACCCCGGCTGGGCAGACGGCGGCTTTCCCCACCGCAGAGGGGCCTCCGTTGCCGGCGTTGGCAAGGGTTGATGGGAGGTGAAGCATGGCGTACTAGCTGTGTGTGTCTGGGGCCCGAGTGTGAGCCCGGTTCTTGGGGTCACCCCCCAGGGGTCCGCCCGCTGCAAACCCTGTGTCCCTGGCGGCGACTCTGAGCGGCCTGTGGCTTCTGAGATGGTGCCCGTGAGGGTGACAGTGGCTTTGTCTGTGCTTCCCCTGCTGCCTGGCTGCGTGTCCTGGGCTGCCGTGCCAGCCAGGGAGGACGGAGAAGTCACATACAAGTGGCTGTGAGGAGCGGTTTGTTGTAATTTTTTTTGTTGTTGTTGCTGAATTTTAAAACACTGAAAGGTAGAATTTTTCTGTAAGGTCACCGGTATTGTGGGGTGACCTCACGTTCGTGCTTCGGCTGTGTGCTGCGTGGAAGTTAAGAGAAGTTACCTTTGCTTGCCGACTTTTCACTTAAACTCTTAGTTACAGTTTTTTGAGTGGAGGAGGATAACGATAACTTTGTTTTTGTTTATTTTTCTCTGCCAGAGATGAATTTTAACTAAGTTGAAATTTCAGTATAATCCTGAAATATCAGATGTGGCCCGGACAGCCTCCGAGGCCCCTCTCTTGGGAGAGGCCCCGCAGGGGTGGTGCTGAGGGAGATGAGCTCTGGTGCCAGGGCCTCCCTTCAGCGGGCTGTGCTCTGGGCTGTCCAGCGCTCGTAGAGGATGTCTGCGAAACCGATTTCTCCAAAGGGAAAAATTCCCTTCCGTACACTCAGCTGCAGGGCATCGTGAGTTAGGACAATAATCGAGGGGTGGCGTGGGGCTGCCACAGCTGTTCCTGGGTCCTCTGGCTCACGTGAGCTGTGCGTGGCAGGGCTGGAAGGGGGCGCACCGGCCTTGTGTCCAGAACCCCACGCTGGTGCTGTCCAGGGCCCCGCCGCTCAGTGGAGCCGCCCAGAGGCACTCACGGCTGTTTCTGATGCCCCCGCCGGGGGCTGGGCAGCGCAGGACCGCAATGCTCACAGCCAGAGCGGCGTCTGGGTGTGTCCTGCTGAGCAGCCTGGGGTGATGTGGGCCCGCCCGCGGGATCACCTGCCCGCACTGACCTCGCGTCTCTGTCTCCTGCGGTGGCGCCCTGCGCAGTGAGGAGCTGGGGGAGTTCATGGAGACCAAAGGTGCTGCAAGCCCTGGGATCCTGGTGCTGACCACCGGCCTCAGCAAGCCCTTCCTGCGCCTGGACAAGTACCCGACGCTGCTCAAGGAGCTGGAGCGGCACATGGAGGTGCGGGCCACGGGCTGGTTGCCAGGCTGGTGCTCCCCCTCACCCCGGGTGCAGCGCTCTGGCTCCCTGGCCTCCCGGTGCGCCTGTGGGCTGGGGTTTGCAGAAGCGGGCGCGATGGGGCCGGTTCCTGGGCAGCTGTGTGCGGTGCCATCAGCCACGGGCTGTGGCGGCCGGAGTCCCAGGGCACCCTGCTCGCCTGTCCTGTTCTTAGCGACGGGCTGTGTGCCTGGCAGAAAGCGGGGTTCAGGGCATTGTCTTGGCTCAGGAGCGTTCCCGTAAGGGGTGGTCAGCGGGCCCTGCCCACACGCGTGCCGGTCCTCTGCCGCGGTGGCTGCTGTGCCCGCACCGGCGTGTGGGTGCGGGGGCCCCTCTTACTCCCACGTCCTCTGACGTGTTTCCCCGAGGGTCACCGGCTCCCTGACTGTATTAAAGAATGAGAAATGACGCCTTGTAAATAGGACATGTTGTGGGGTGAAAACCCTGACACAGGCTGTAGGGCGCCTTTCCAGGGGGGAGCGTGTGACTGTGAGAGCTGAGTGTCTCGCTTCTTCGCAGGATTATCATCCAGACAGACAGGACATCCAGAAGTCCATGGCCGCCTTCAAAAGCCTCTCTGTAAGTGTCGCGCGCGCGTTACAGGCTTTCCTCGGCCCTTGTTCTGGCCCTTGAACGCAGAGAAATGCGTGTCGCCTGGGAAGGATAGGTAACGGGGAAAATGCAGTTCTCTCAGGGGCGTGAGCTGAGGGGATGACTGTATCATCAGTGTCCCCGCGGCTGGACTTGTGGGCGCCAGAAAAACGCAGTTGTCGTTCAGGTGTCGAGAAGACCCCGCGACGCGCCCCGCGGCTGCCCGGCTGTGGCCGGGTGCCCTCCCTGTGCCCTGCAGCCCCCCTCGCGGTCGGCCTGCTGTTGGGCCGGCTGTCCCGAAACATCCGCCTTGTTGGTGTTTCCCTCGGCCCAGATTCTGCGCGGGCAGACGTTACAGTCACAGCAAGCGCGTCCCTCACCGCTGTGTGTGTCTCCTGACGTGGGTGACTGCGGTCCCCGGGGCCCTGGCCCAGGGGCTGTCTCCGGGCGCGCCACAAAGCTGCTGTGGGGCCACCCAGGCTGTGAGGCTGGCGGCTCCCGTGCCATCACCGGGCTCTCGTGTCCCTCAGGCTCAGTGTCAGGAGGTGCGGAAGAGGAAGGAGCTGGAGCTGCAGATCCTGACGGAAGCCATCCGCAACTGGGAGGGTGATGACATCAAGGCCCTGGGCGCCGTGGTGTACATGTCGCAGGTCCTGATCCAGTGCGCGGGGAGCGAGGTACTGTGCTGCCCCCGGGCGGGCCACTGCCGTCCCCGCCCACGGCTGCCCTTGGCTCTCTCCGCCAGTCCCTGCTCCTGGATTTCCCTCCAGCTCTGTGGTCAGTAGTGCGGCTTAGAGCACGCTTGCGGCCATGAGGCCTCAGGACAGGCTGGTGCTGTGGCCCCCAAGGCGTCCGCCCTTCTGTCTCCTCTGGGGGTGTTTGTTCTTGAGGTGTGGTCTCTGGGGTGTTCTTAACCATGTTCAGGTGACGGTTTGAACTGTCAAATGCTGCTCACGCTAAGTCTCTCACGCAAACAAGGTGACAGTTACGGGAGGATGGAGACCGCCTTCCACGGGCGTGTCCGGCTTTGGGGATGTCCCCGGCTACTGGTGTTGGCATTTCACGGCCGCCCTGGGCTGAGGGCCCCGCCCGCCCCCTGCACTGAACGCCGTTACGGTCGCTTTTCCTTAACCAGGAGGGAGAGTTTGAGTCCAGTTCCAGAGTCGCAGGCAGAGCTGAGCTCTTTGGCTAGCCTCAAAGTGAAGGGTTGTACGTGGGCCCCTTGTGAATCTTGAAATTTATTGTAACTTTGTTTTCACTTAATTTAGCCAATAAAACGGGGTGGGAGAAACGCAAACAGCGAGTGGGGCGGCGGGGGGGGGGGGGGGGGAACGTCCTCGTGCCTCTGTCTCTGAGTAAGTGCTTGGTCTGTCCTTGTCCTGGCCTAGGAGAAGAGCGAGCGCTACCTCCTCCTCTTCCCCAGCACGCTGCTGATGCTGTCCGCCAGCCCGCGGATGAGCGGCTTCATCTACCAGGTACCGCCCGTGGGGCCTCCCCCAACCCCCCGTCCGCAGGGCACCATTTCTGGCCTGGCCGGTGTGTGCCTGGGGCTGTGGTGCCTGCGCCTGCCCCGTGCATGTCCCCTGCCAGCCTCAGTCCTGAGCTGGGGGGAGGGAGCGGGCGATGCGCAGCCCCACCTCCTCTCCACTCAGCCCTCCTGCCGCTTGCCCCGACCTCAGACGTGCAGCCACTCAGCGGCCAGCCGCGGCATGCTGGGAAGGGCCTTTCCAGCTTGGCCGTCAGGGACCTGTTGGAGAGGACGTGAGCACTGATGGGAGGGCCAAGGCGAGGGCTTCTGGTGTTTCCTGAATTGCAGACTCGCGGCGTGTGGGTCCTTGGTCTGGGTCGGCCTTGGCTCTGGAAGCCAGTGCCTCCCAGTCCCGTGGCTTGGCCCGGCGCCCGAGACGGTGTTGCCGAGCTCAGCCTCCTTTCTCTGGGTGGCCTCGTGGTTTCCTGCTGCACTGGCCAGATGTCCAGCCACTGACCCGAGTCAGATGTCCAGGGACTCTGCTGCCCGGAGAGCAGCTCCTCACAGGCCCTGCACAAAGCGGGCCTCTGAGGACACCGGACAGCCCTGCCCCTCGGTTGGCCAACCTGCTGCAGAGCAGGGTCTGTGCAGAGTCAGCTGCTGCTCCCTCCACCCAGTGCCGCCCCCTCCTACCCAGTGCCCTGGTGGGATGACTGGCGAGGTGGAGGCCGAGCTCCCTGTGTTCAGGCTCTGGTCTAAGCAGAGAAAGGAAGGGTCGCCGCTTGTGAGGCCCAGGCCCTGGTGGCAAGGCTGGCACGCGGCCATGGGGGCTTGGGCGTCCCACCCACGGGACCTGTCCTTGCGGGGAGCCTCTGCATGCTGAGGCCCGCGCATCGGTGGCGTGCATCTCCCGCTCTGGCAGGTGTCACGCAGCAAAGCCAGGGACACGGGGAGATCCTGGCCCCTTTGTGGTGCGAGGCGGCACACCGCCTGCTGTGGTGGTCTCGCGGCTCTGAGCCCCGTGCCTCAGGCACCCGCTGTGGCTGACGTGCCGGAGGGTGCCTCTGTCAGAAGCGTCTGACCATGCATGCCCAGCACTGCCCAGTGTCCCAAAGTGTCCCCGCCTCTGGGTGACCCTCAGCTGGCTCTGCCTCCGTGGACAGGGTCTTTTCTGGTGTGGGGATGGGTGGGGAGACTGTCCCTGGCCGATGGGCATAGAGCAGCATCCAGGCCCCTGCCCGCCAGGGCTCTGTGCCCTGTGGAGGACCGTGGCTCTCTGCCAGATAGCCCTTGCTCCCCGCTGCCGCGGCCTGGCCCGGCCCGGACGTCCTGGCTGGTGTCTGTGTTCAGTGCCGTGTGTGGGGCCCTCCCTGACATCTCTGGGCGCCATGTCCCTGCCTGCTTGCTTGTGCTCATTGCCCAGCAGCTGGCCACCAGCCCCTGCCCCTGGGCCGCCTGGGCGGGTCCCTTGGGCCTGCTCCCTGGGGGTGCTCGGAGGCGCGCCACAGGTGCAGCCGGGGTGTGTCTCTGCTGCTCGCTGGTGCTGTTCCTAGATTTGAGCATCAGTAGTTCTCACTGGGTCAGAAGCTCTGATGTCACGCGCGTGGCTGGTACAGGAGAGGGGTTTTCCTGGCTTGCGAACACTCTTCTCCCGCTTCTAACGTCACTTATCTATGAGCATTTGCTTTAAAAACAGCATCTTTACGTGAGAAGCTCTAACTTGGGGGTCGTTTTCAGGGCAAGCTCCCAACTACAGGGATGACGATCACGAAGCTTGAGGACAGCGAGCACCACAGGAACGCCTTTGAGATTGCAGGTGAGGGGCGCTGCGGGCGCTGCGGGGGGAGGCCCACCATTGGGGCGCCGTGGGCCCACGTGCTCTCCCCATGTCCCGCCTGGGCGTCTCCTCTCTTCTAGGGAGCATGATCGAGCGGATCCTGGTGTCCTGCAGCAGCCAGCAGGACTTGCACGAGTGGGTGGACCACCTGCAGAAGCAGACGAAGGTCACGGCTGCGGGCAACCCCTGCGTCAAGCCGCATTCTGTGCCGTCTCACACCGTAAGGACCCGCCTGGCTCGGGGTGGCTGCCGGCTGGCCACACACGGCGTCATGTACCGGGGCCCACCCAGGGTTCTCTGCAGACGCCGCCGGCCCCGCACTTTAGCCCAGGGGCTGCGGACCCAGCAGGGTCTCGAGAACATTCACTCTGTAGCAGGCGTCATCAGGAAGGATTTAGTGATGAGGGGGCCAGGCCCACGGGGAGGCTCTGAAATCGCCTTCTTTGATGTATGCTTTGACTTAAGGAATCTTCACCTGTGTCCTGCTCGTTTGCACATCTCAGCAGCTCTTTGGTCTCCCATATACTTAGGGCGCCTTCAGAGGTCAACATGGAAACTCACATTTAGAGCTTCCTGTCGCGCTGTCTCTGCTGTCGCTGTGCTTGGTCTCCGTAGCAGAGACGAGCCTGGAAGAACGGGCCTGGCCGGATCCAGGGGTTCACGAGACAGTGGCGCCCGTGCTTTGCCCAGTAAATCACACTAGCTGGGCCGCGTGGGCCCCCACGTAGTGGCTGTTATTTGACAAAATTCCGTTATTTCCATGGGCTGAGATGCCCTTTGTGAGTGTTACTGCAGGCGCACGGGCCGGGCCCCTCGGCTGCCTCCTGGCCTGGGCGGCCCAGAAGCTCCCACGATCGCGCCCTGTCGGCGTCGTCTGGGGCGGGGGTGGCTGAGCCTCCGCGGGTCGGGTGTCTCTGCACGGCCTCGACTGCGGACGCTGTCTTCCTCGTCTCCCGGCAGCTCCCCTGCCACCCGCTCGCCCCGTCCAGCAAGCACGCCGACAGCAAGCCCATGCCGCTGGCGCCCCCCTACCACACGCTGCCCCACCCTTCCCACCATGGCGCCCCACATGCCGCCATCAGCTGGGGGCCGCTGGAGCCGCCGAAGACCCCCAAGCCCTGGAGCCTGAGCTGTCTGCGGCCCGCGCCTCCCCTCCGGCCCTCGGCCGCCCTCTGCTACAAGGAGGTGAGGCGCTCGGGGGCGCTGTCTCGGTGTCGGTGCAGTCGGGGTGAGGCGCGTGTCTGTCTGTCTCGGTGTCGGTGCCGTCAGGGTGAGGCGCGCGTCTGTCTTTTTCAGTGTCCGTGCAGCCGGGGTGTGGGGTGCATCTGTTTCTGTGTCCGTGCAGCCGGGGTGTGGGGCGCATCTGTCTGTGGCGCGAGAAGGCAGAGGCCTTTCTTCGGAGGCCTGTGGGGGGTCAGCCCGCTGTTGTCATCCAGAGTGCCCCGTGCCCCTCCCTGACTTGGGCGCTGTGGGCCAAGGGGCTGGCAGGTCTCGCAGCGGCTTCCTCCGTGCCCCTCACGGCACCCAAGTTATTTGGCTTCCGGTGTATCAGGCCTCGCCTTGCTGCAGCTGGCCACCGTGTGCCCGGCGGCCCCGTCTCGCTGGAGGCCTGGTCCAGGAGGCCGCATTTGTCGGGAGCGGCGGTGGGAGGGCAGGGAGCATTGCACCTGGAGGCGAAGACGGCTGTTTGGCAGCGCTGTGGCGCCAGAGAGACCATGACGCCTCCCACTCACCGTGCCCAGCGCTGCGGCCTCTCTGACCACTGTCGCCGGGCCTTGGGGGCCGACTGCAGGCGGGGCCGAGTCGGGAAGCCGCCTGGACAGCAGGCTCCAATCGGACATGTCCGCACAGCAGGCTTCTGTCCAATGAGCGCCGCCGGCCTCCCGGTAGAGCACCAAAGGCCGAGGGACCTGGGGGGACGTGGCTACAGTGACTGTGTCGCTCATTCCCAGCCCCACCCTAGCAGCCTCCCAGGACAGGACGCCCTTCCTCAGCCCCGCGCCCACGGCCCGGACGCGCAGCCGTCCCAGTGAGCCCGGCGAGCATAGCTTCAGACCTGGCCCCTCCGGACCTGGCCCGACTGGAGTCCAGTGCTTCATGCTCTCTGGCGGCCAACGCCATCCTGACAGTGGCCCTGCGCTGTGTGTGGGCACCTTTCGGGCTCGAGGAGGCGGCGCATGTGAGGAGCCCCGGAGGCCCCGCCCGAGGACGCGGGTGGAGCCCGAGTGTGGCGGAGACGAGTGTGAGCGTGGGGCATGTGTGAGCGTGTGGCGTCAGCGTACACGAGCCTGGCGAGGCGCTGCGCACACGCCCCACCGCTGAGGGCCGCCGTGAGAGGTGCTCCCGACTCCCGGTACCCTCCGGGGGTTTCTCGCGCAACCTCTGCCTTCCCGGTGGTTGGGGTCCCCGCTACGGCAGCCGCTTGGGGAGCATCGCTGCTCTGTGCTCCCCGGTGAAACTGGAGTACACGCGAGACGGGCCCACATAGAAAGGCCCCAACGACAGGTGCTGGGAGGGAGGAGCCGGTGGGCAGGAAGGCTGCTCCCCAGGGGTGCGCTCTGGGCCCGCCTCAGCCCGGGAGTGGAAATGCCGCTTGGCCAGCAGCCCCACCCACTTGGGGCGTCAGCTGGAGGCCGTGAAGCTCTCGGTGCAAAAGGCTCTGAGCCTTCCAGCAGCGGACGCTGGGGCCTTGTGCCCAGGCAGGGCAGGGTTGTGAAGAGGCGGCAGCCACGCTGCGGGCAGCTCTCAGCCGCCAGGGAAACGCTGTGTTGCCCTTTGCAGCAGAATGGAGTTTGAGGGAACACAGCGCGAGGTAGTTCAGAAGGCCAGAGAAAGTACTGGGCGCGTGAGAGCAGGGCTGGCCGGAGTGAAGTGCTCCTGAGAGCGCGGCGCTGAGAAGGGACCTGAGGCTCGGAGGGCGCAGGGAGGGAGGCACCATGGGCCTGGGGTCTGGGTCGTCAGTGGGGCCTCAGCAGGTCTGTCCGGGACTGAGCCCACGGTGCCAGCCCCTCCCTTCTCGCCCTCTGGGCCCCTCCTCGTGTCGGGCCACTTGGCTGGTCGTGGTCAGCGAGGCCTGGGGCGGGGCTACCACAGTGGTCTGGGCCTCAGTGCAGACCAGGATGTCCTAGGCAGGCTTCCCTGGCAATCCGTCACGACTGTGCCCTGGCCCTGGGAGACGCGTGCTGCCCGCCACCGCCCGCCGGGGACGCGCGCTGGGTTGTATGTGCTCAGGGTTTGTCTGCTCGGAATTTTTGGACTTGGTTTTGTGCACGCTTCTGGCCGCTCGCCGGAAGGAGCAAGCACGACGAGGGAAGGCTGGTGCTCAGCGGACAGCAGTGGCAGCTCTGCCCTGGGACCGCTGCCCCGGCACCTCCCAGCTCTGGATGGTCTTCTGGGCCTGGCTCGACAGGACTGGCGTGTGGGGCCAAGTCCTCCTGGCCCTGCATCCACGCGGCGTGCGCGCTCTGCGCTGGTGCCGCTGCAGGTCTACAAACTGCTGGAATTTATCTGTTCAGTGAGGGTTTGAAAGAGACGCTCTCCAAGGTTGATCTTTCTTCCCTCTGCGTGCATCAGCCTGACCAGCGCATCTCCCCCGCCTCTCTGGTCAGAGGAGCGGTCACGTGTCTGTTGTCACGGTGATGCCCACAGTGACGCCTCACGGTTGGCCCCGGCGTTACTGGCTCAGTTGTCCTGTTGGGTTTCCGCCGGCGTGCTCTGCGTCGTTCTGGGTGCTGAGTGCCGTGCGGCGGGGGCGAGGGTGCCTTCCCGGTGAGGAGTGCCCCGAGTCACCTGAGCCCCAGCCCTGCCTTCCACGCCGCTGCGCCCAGGCCAGCCCCTGATCCCCAGCTCTTCACTTGCTCCTCCGAGAGCAGGCGCAGCTGCCCTTCCTAGCGAGCCGGGCGGTTAGTCCCTGTGTGCCCTGCTCGCTGGACCCGGCGGTCCGCTGGATGCAGGTGCCTCACGTGCGAGCTCAAGTCACCATGGGGCAGCAGGACGCCCCACAGGCGGCTGGAGTGACCCAGCGACGCCCCAGCACTCTCGGGGTTGCCAGGCAGGCCCCTGGTGAGGCTCATCAGTACTGCCCTCTCTCCCTGCAGGACCTTAGTAAGAGCCCCAAGACTATGAAAAAGCTGCTTCCCAAGCGCAAGCCTGAGCGGAAGCCGTCGGACGAGGAGTTCGCGCTGAGGAAGAGTGAGTGTGTGCGCCGGCGGGCGCGGTGCTAGGCTGCCTGTCGGTGTGGAGCGAGCTCGCTGCGGCGTGTCCACGCGATGCCTGGCGCGGCGGGAGAGGTGGGAGGCCTGCCTGGGATGGGACGCCATGGGCGAGGTCTCCGGTGCTGGGCCCCCGCGTGGCCCATCCAGCCCGGCCCTGGCGCGTGAGCAGCAGCTGGGCGGCGCCTCCCAGCTCCGGGGGTGCGGACACTCTGGCGGGGGCTCTAAGGACCACTCTCCACACCGAGGCTGGCCTGCGGCCTCTCTGGGGTGCAGCTGCCTCCCCTCTTGCATGGCAGGCACGGGGTGCCGCCTCCCTGCGCGCTGAGCTCTGGGGCATGGCAGCTGGTGGGTGGCGGGTGCAAGCCGGGCCTTGTCAGCTCTCGCCCTTCCTGGGCCGCAGCGGCCCTTGCGCACCTGCGCGTGTCTCTCAGCTCCCCTCTCCCGGGCCTGCCCGTCCTCAGCCTCGGGTTGGACAGCGAGACAGCTCGCGCTGTAGTGGGGACCCTGGGCCCCAATACGGCCGGTGAGCCGCACTTCCGAGCAGCCTGGTCCTCTCGGAGGGCGCTCGTCTGTCCTGGCTGTGCTCCATCTGGTCGGCGGGCAGCACCGGTGTGCAGCTGTGACGCATGTGTCCCCACAGGCACGGCCGCGCTGGAGGAGGATGCGCAGATCCTGAAGGTCATCGAGGCCTATTGCACCAGCGCCAAGACCCGGCAGACGCTCAACTCAAGTGAGTCTCCGCGGACGTGCTGGGCAGGGCCGGGCGGCTGCAGGGCTGGCCCGCGGGGGTGTGGTGGGGCAGGGCCACACGTGGGCCTCTGCCGGACACAGAGGACGGGCGGTTCTGTCCACGCCGTTCAGACTTCCGTGGGGTGGTGTCACCATCTCTGCTGTTACTGTGACTTAGTTTTCTAGAGTCTGGTCAGCAGCGTGCCCTGGGCCAGTCCCTCTCGGGCCAGTCCCCGCCTGAGATTCTTTGGAGGTGCATCCAGTCAGGTGGCCCCTAGATGTCGGGGCCACCGGGTTCACCTGCCCTTGGCGTGTGATGGCTCCCGGGGGCCGCCTGACCTGCTGCAGAGCTGGGCCTTTTCAACAAGACCCTCCCGCATGCTGAGCAGAGGCCCCACCCACCCCGTCCCGCAGGGGGAGGCGCCCTCGCTGCTGCCATGTCCTGGCCACGGGGGCCCTCTCAGGGCTGTTATTTCTTGAGTTTTCCGTTTTTCTGAAGAACTAGGTTATCCCATAAGAATTGGTTTCTGTAGGATTTTGAGCTTTTGGTTCCTTTGCCACTCCAACTTGTGGCGCATTTGCTCGCTCCCCCTCGGTGTCAGCGCCCAGCACAGGCCGCCCAGTGGGCCGGTGCTGGGTCCTCTCAAACTCGTGCTGGAAAGAGGGGCGGCGGGGATTTCCAGCTGCCTCTCAGCGTCGCGGGGACGCCTGCAGCCCCGCGGTTGGGCCGGCTCCTGCCCGGGGAGCGTCTGTCCCCTCTTCGGGGGCGGATGCCCTTTGTAGTGACAGGTCAGTGCAGAGAGGGCGGCTGTGCTGGGAGGCCCACCCGTGAGTGCACCCTGGGCCCCTGTGTGCAGGAGGCTGTGTTTGAAGTAATAAGCTCTAGAGCGTGGCCACAGCCATCTGGGTGTGGACTTTGAGAATTTAAAAAAAAATGACTTATTTTTGCTTGAATCATTTGAAATAAAATTTTAGCCGGGGAGTAGACCAGGCAGCGGGAGCTCTGTGTGTTCTCGTGTGAGTGCATTTTTTTGTTGAGAGGCAGTGCCCACGATGGGCCTGGCCCCCGCAGGGCCGCCGGAGCTGTGCCCGCAGCTCCTGACCAGGCACCCGGCCGCTGCCGGAGCAGCCCACACCGTGGGCCCAGGGCAGACCGTCCCCTCAGGCCTAGGCCCAGTGTCCTGAGGGCAGGTGGGACGGGGCGCCGGTCCTTGGTGCTGGCCAGGCGTGTGCTCGAGCCGCGGGCGCAGGGGCCCAGGGGCGCGGGACACTCATGGGTGGTGCTAACGGCTGTCGGGCGGCGGGTCCATGGCTCCCGCCCCACCTCCCGGGCCGCACGGCCTGGCCAGCACCAGTGCTCGTGGCTCTAGCCCCTGCTGGCCTCTGCTCTGCCTTTTGTGTCCACTTCCTCCTGTCCTCCTCCTAAGTGGTGGCATCACCAGTGAGAGGCCCCGCACCGGGCGGGCTGGGGGGCGGGGCGGGGCCCGTGGACACCCTTCTCCACGCGGACGTTTTTGCGGCGGGGAGAGCGGATCAGGTAAGTGTAGGCCCCGTCCTTAAGGTGCTGCCTAGCCTGGCAGAGCGAAGAAAAGGAAAGTCCTCGGAACTGTCTTGCGTTCAGCGTGTCCGTCTCCACGACGGGACGCGGCTTGTTAGCGGCCACAGGGACGGCTCCTTGCCCGAGGACGTCCTACAGGACGCTGTGGTCCGTGAGGCGCAGGGCAGACGGGTGCTCGCCAGGCGCTGCGGGCCCAGCCGCCCGCGAGGGCTGGGGGGGGGGCGAGAGTCGCGCGCGGCTGCGGGCCTAGCGAGGTGGTAGCGGGCCCGGTGGCGGCTGGGCCGGTGCTGAGTCCGGCATCGCGGCCCAGCCTAGGTGAGGAGAGACGAACGTTGCTGCCGTGTTTTAACAGTATTTTCTCTCTTCCTTCTCTTCCCGTCACCCTGTGCTTCTGTCTCCATGTCTTTGGTTGTGGCTCTTCCTGTCCGTCCTCCTCCTCCCGCCTCCGCTGTCGCCCGCCCCGCCCGCCCGTCTTAGCATGGCAAGGCACTGACCTGATGCATAATCACGTCCTGGCCGACGACGACCAGCCAAGTCTAGACTGCCTGGGTCGTCGCGGCAGCCTTTCCCGTTTGGAGCCTTCAGACCCCTCGGAGGACTCTGACTATGACAGTGTGTGGACAGCCCATAGTTACAGAGCGGGGGCCGCCTCTCGTAAGAGCTGTTGCTCGTATATCTCTCACCAGAACTAACGCCCTGCGCTCTCCCCAGCACTGCTCGTGTACTGCAGCCTGCTTTCCTAGACGTTTCCTTGCTGTTCTTGTCTCTTTCATGTGGTGTTTTAACAACGCGGGGGGCCTTCTGCTCCCCTTGTGCTGGGTGGTGCAGCACCGCCCATCGCAGCTCCTTCGAGCACAGCTGGAGGGGCCGACGCCCGGCCTGTCCCCGGGGTGCTGGCTCCTTGGGCAGGCGGGGTGGTGCCGAGCACCCGCAGGGGTTATTCTCGGCGTGGCGCCCGCCTGCTCACTCACGGTAGAGGCGCGAGCTCGCTGATACCGGAACCGGCGGGCCGGGGCCTGCAGCCCACAGGACCAGCAGGGGCCTCCGCCTCCACGTGGGCCCGCCTGGCTTCCGTGGGGTGAGTGCCGAGCACGCCCCACAGCCTGCGGCTGGGCGACCAGCAAGACCGTGCTGAGCTGTGTTGGGGGGGGCAGGGCCCAGGGGGCCGGCCCGCGCCCGCCCAGGGCTCCCGAGGGCGCACGGCCGCAGGAGGGAGTGCCCTCTGAGGCGGCCAGCGTAGCGTCAGCCGGGACCCCCCACCGGAGCTGACCCCACCGTTGTGCTCCTCGGCCCCGCCCACTCCCTGTGGGTGAAGTCCCGCCTCAGCTTCCTCCCCCCGTGTAGTGCAGGCTCCCCAGGCGGTCGGTGGGCTGGAACAGGCGAGTGCTTTGGCTTGAGTCCTGGCCTGGCTGCACCCCGACACCCCCGACATCCATACTCATACTGCCTGCAGTGGATACGTTGCTTGTTCTCAGCCGCTGGCTGCAGTGAAAGTCCAATTACCGCAATCCCGGCGCAGTGGCCCCCGCGCTCGATGTCCTGGGGACACCTCAGCCATCGCAGACGCGCGGCTGCCATGAGACGCAGGAGGGGACCCCGCTGGGGCCCGCCCCCTTAGGGTTGCTGTAAGGAGGTTTCACTGACCTCGCTCGGGCTGGGCTCCGCTTCAGGGCGGTCTGAGCGAGCGCGTCACATGCAGCGCAGCCCCACATCTGCCCATCGCTGGGGGCCGTGTGCCCTCCCGCCTGCTGTGTTTGGGGTGGAAATGGCACCCGAGGGTTGCGTTTTAAGGGTTCGCTGAAGCCAGCTCAGCACGTGTGACGCCATGGCGAGTCGGGAATAACGTGTTTTCCTTCCCTCAGGGTGGCGGTGACCGCAGGTGGCTGTGATTTCTCCCCAGCACCCTCCCTGGCCGCCCCCAGGCAGTGTTCCCGTCTCGTTTGCACGGAGACACCTTTGCTGCGTCCGCCCTGTTCCTGGGAGCTGAGCCCGGTGCTGGCGGCCCGGCAGGCGTGTGGCTCAGGCCGCGGCTCCACGCTGCGGCGGGCAGGCGGGTGGCCCCAGGGCTGGGTCGCCCCACTCCATGTGCTCTGCCCCGTCGCCCCGAGGGGCCCCTCCGGCTGCAGCTTCCTACTTTCCCACCGGATGTAACTACGTGCCAGTGTGCCAGGGTCCGTGCCCCTGCGGGGGTCTGTCTGCCCCACTGGCGCCGGGGCGTGGAGAGAGAGGGCGCCGGAGGCTGGCCTCCTCACCCGGCCGCGCTCCTCGGGAGCAGCCTGGCTCTGTCTCACCTAACGCGGCCCTCCCGCCCCACGCCGGGCCGCCCCGTGGCGGAGGCTCAGGCCTGGCGGCGCGGCGGGCACCCCCGGCACGGCCCATGGGCTCTGCCCCACGCCGGCCGCGCTTGCGTTGTCTTGACGAGACACGTTCTTGACCGCCGAGTTTTGGCACTTGCCCACCCTGTCTTTTTGTGCCAGTTAAAGCCATTTTGACAGTGATTTTGTTGACGCGAAGACGACTGCAGGACGACGATCCGGCTTCTTGTCTGGACTCGTCCCGAGGGTCTGCACCCGGGGCGCTCGTGGCCGGGTCGGAAGTGTCGTTGGCGCCGGCCTGGGACCACGGTGGCCGTGCCGGTGCCCGGGGGCCGCGCCTGCTCGTGCGGGGCGTCGGTCACCCCGCGCTAGTCCGCGTCCGCGTGTGCATTAGCGTTACCGTGAGGATGGAGAGTCCGAGCAGAAGGTAGGTCCCGCCGCTCGGCCGTGGCGCGTGGCCGGGGCGGCCTCCCCGTGGCTCCACGCTCGCCGCGGGTCTCTGAGCTGTGTAACTGTGTGTTTTGTCTGAAATTGCCAAAACACAGTGATGTGTACGTAGCGTGCGCAGCCCCGTGACAGCCCGGCGTGGCGCTCTCGGGGGTGCCGGGGCGCTGCCTGGAGGCAGGCGGACGCCCCGTCGTCCTGGTTGCACATGGCCACGAAGTGTTTGTTTTATATTGAAAAACGACATCTGTTCTGTACAGTTGAAATAAATTTTGCATTTGCTAGCCTGTGGCTTTTACCGTTTGTTCCGGGGGGCGGCGGGAGCGCGGTTGCAGCCCACGGGGTTCTGGGGGGGGCTGCCTGTTCTGGCCTCGGGGCTCCCGGGCCGTGCAAGTGGGTGTCTGCAGTGCGGTGCTTTGGCTGCGTTCTGGAGGCGACGTCCAGCGCAGTTGAGCCAGGCAGAGCTCGGGGGTGGGCCAGGAAGCCGCGTGACTGCGCGCGGCCCTGCCTGCCGGTGGGCGCCTCCCCGTCTCTGGCCAACTCTCAGCTGTTTAGGCTCCTCGTCTGGCAGCCTCAGCCCTGCGGGGCCACGCCACTCGAGGACCCGGAATGGTCGCCCAGTGGGAGCCATGGGTCTGTGCACCGCTGGCACTAGGGCCCCCAAAATGGACCCGTTTGATGAGTTATTTCTCAAACGGAGGTGCTGTTCCCCCGGGGTTCTGTGTTTTAGGGGCCGGGGGCCGTCACTCCTGGTCACCTCTGAGCGGGGACTGCATGTGTGTCTGGCACCTCACGTCTGAGGAACCTGACGTGGTCCCGAGGGTGAGATACGGGGCTCCCCCGCCCCAGCAGCCGCATGGCCGTAGGCGCAGGTGGTGAGCGAGCTGGTCTCGCGTCCCTCCAGCCACTGTCCGGGCACCGTGGTGCTTGCGCCGGTGCGGCCACGGTGAGGCCAGCCCTCGGGCGGTCCCAGGCACGCTCGCGCATGACGGGGTTTCCTGCCTCCTCTGAGGTCCGGTACATGCCCTGGCCCTCCACAGGCTTCGGGGGGCTCCAGGCCACAAGTGGCGGCCCCGTCTCCGTCCTGGGCCCTGTGCGGGACCAGATCTTCACTGTGCTGGGCCCGCCCAGAACCGGTCAGGAGCCTCGGCCCCTTGGAGGCTCTGACAGAAAGTGCTGGGCCATTGTTTCTGCTGTGAGCGTTGTTTTCCAGCCCAAGTGACCGGGGAAGTGGGCAGTGTGCCTTTAACAACACGATAATCTTTGCAATAATTTGTCAAGTCCACTTCCCAAAGCTGTGTTTTTAAAGAAGGAACTTGTCACGAAAGCGGCTAGAGGACCGTCCCTCGCCGGTGAGAGACTAGGCTCCTCCAGTTGTTTCGAAGGAGCAACGTGAAACAAGGCCGGTGGTGGGCGGCCCGCCTCCTGGGCACCCTGGCCCTCGGCGAGCCCGTAGCAGCTTTTCTGACCCTGGTGGGTGTCGGGACGCGGTGGTGCATCCTCATGGTCACGCTCCCAGGCCGAGTCCATGTGAGCTGTCAGGCCGCCGTGCCTCTGCAGAAATGCCCACTGCACCGTGCATGTGTGACCCGTGCCGGCCCCTGGGGCTACAGCGCCTGCCCCAGCCACGACTTTCCGAAGTCGTCACGCAAAATCGTTCCCTCTGTCGTCCCAGGGGACCCGTGGGAAGTGCTGTCACGGATGTACTGACTGATGCCCGGCCGGCCCTGGTGTGCCCTGGTCGGGGCCTGGGGCACAGCCGGGTGGGAGGCCACACGCCGGGACCGCAGTTAAGCTGCCGCTCCCTGCCTGCGCCGTCTCTGCACACGGGGCCAGGTGCCCTCCTGGGGGCCCGGGCAATGGCCTCTGGACAGCAGGCACATCTGCCCCTGTGGGCATGCCCTGGGGCCTGGCCCTGCGCCTTCTCTGGGACGTCTCTCTCATTCCCTTGTAAGCCCCAGTGTCCAGCAGCACCCCAACTCCCCAGAAAGGTCCAGAAGAAGATGGATAGCAATTGGCCCCGTCCCCCAGCTGGGGCCCCAGCACGGGTGCCTGGGGGGACAGTTACAGCAGCAGAGTCCCCTTCTGGGGCCACGTCTCGAGGGACCCCACCTGCTGTGTCTGTGTAGAAGCTGTGCCCGACTTGGCCGGTGCCCACGAGAGGGTGGCCCTTGGAGGGGCTTCGGAAGCCCCATGGCCTCTGGGGCCTGGAAGCGGCAGCAGAGGGCGTCTTTGAAATAGCATCTGACCAACGTAGTTACAGGCGCCACCAGCCTGCTGCTCGTCAGCCGCAGTGGGACACCAGGACCGCCCTGCCCGAGGCTCTCCCTGCCCCCCTGCCGGTGGCTGCTTTCCGGGTGGCCCTGGCCTCGGGGGGCGGCCTGCTTTGCCTTCCTGGGGCTGTCGGAGCCTCAGCGGTAATTGCAACTTTGTTCCGTCCAGAGGCTCAAAATAAAATGCTGGTGAAACTCATTTTCCCGGGCCTGGCTCCCCGGGTGGCAGGAGCACGGTGCCTCCTCGCAGCTTGACGAGCTTCTAGAAGCGGGTAAAGCAAGTCGAAGCACGGTCCCCTTAGCAGTCGGCATATGTGACACCCGACTGTGCTTTCTTCACAGAGCGCGTTGGTCTGTCAGGACGTGCCCCGGGCATCTGTGTTCTGGGGTCCCCTGTCGCCTTTTTCAAATAGGCATCTCGTGTCATTTTTCAGAAGTAGGAATGATGCGTGTGCAGTGTGGTGCTGACACCCCCTCCTCCTGCCTTTTAAGATTTTCCCTGCATCCTTGAATAAGATTTATCTTTTCTCATTTTTAAAATAAATACTTGGTTTCTCTGCCTTACTGGGTGTAATGTTTGGGTTCATGTGTCTCAAGTAACCTGTTTTGCAGCAAACGCTGACTGTCCAGTAGACACTGCCCTAGGCAGGCCTGTGCGGGTGACGGGCCGCTGCCCGCACACCCCCGGCCCAAGGAGTGGTTCCTTCCTTCGCTTGGAGAAATGTTTATATTCCAGGGAACGTAAAGTCTTCGTGAAAGAACCAAGTAATGAACAAATCGTTCCCCTTCTCCAAACTAGCGCACCCCGATTCCCTCCTTGCGCGCTGGCGAGCCGTGTCCCCCCGCGCTGGCCGCGCCGGCTCGTGCGCCCGGGGCCGCGCGTCCTCCCGGAGCGCCTGAATAACGGGACTCAGGATGTGGACGAGTCGGCTGTCCTGCTCAAACCCCAGCTGGATGTTTCCCCCCGGTGTCCAGAGCAGTGTGGTCAGAGGCCTTGAGCCGCCACCTGTTGAGAATTTCAGGGCTCTGAAGACCCAGGTTCTGACCCGCGGCGGAGCCTCAGGGCCCGTGTTCGGGGAGTGCCCCCCTGCCGCCCTGGGCGTGGGCGGGCCTGGCGCCCCTAGACGGAGGTAGAGAAAATTGAGGAAAGCCGGCCCCCCCCCCCCGCCCCCGTTTCCGTGGCCGCCGCAGCCTGGCGCGGCCCCTCGTAGCCTCAGCGCGGCAGTAGCGCTGCCTGGTCGGGTTTTTTGTTTTGCTGCCCAGGCGGTGCCACGATGCTCACCTGCGGGCTCTTTCTCTTTGGTGGCGATAGGTTCACGCAAAGACTCTGCTCCTCAAGTTCTGCTCCCAGAGGAAGAGAAAATTATAGTCGAAGAAACCAAAAGTAACGGTCAGACCGTGATAGAAGAAAAGTGAGTAGCGCTCGCGGCTGCAGCAGGCACGGGGTCCCCGGGGCCGGGCTGGGGTGCACGGAGCCGGCGAGACCCTGGGGGGCGTGGGGTCTGGGCTCGCTGGGGTCTGGGCCTGGGCCCGGAGCGTGCTGACCGGCCTCTCGGTGACCCAGCGCCTCCCTGAGCCCGCCCGCCCCCCGTTTCAGGAGCCTCGTGGACACGGTGTACGCGCTGAAGGACGAGGTCCGGGAGCTGCGGCAGGTGCGTCGGCGCCGCTTCTTGGGCTCGGCGCTCAGTGGGTTTGCGAAAAGGCAAAAGGGATGGAAAGCTGGGGCGGGCTGTCCTCCAGCAGGCGCTCGAGGGCCCCTCAGGCCGGCCTGTCACGCCAGGGTCTCCACCTGCCTTCCCTGCTCCACCCCGCGCCGGCCGGGCCGGCCGTCACTCGAGCTCCTGTTCAAGCCATCATTGAAAATGAGATCTGAGGGCCCAATAAACGCCGGCCAGGCGCCCCCGGGCGTCCTGCCACTCGCAGCCCCTGCTGCGGCCCTGCTTCGGGACCGGTGCATTTTGTGCATCTGTCAGGTCGTGCGCATGGCTCTGCTCTCGGGACGGAGCCTGCCCGCCGAGGTAGGCCTGGGGGTGGGAGGTGAGCCCTGCGGGGTCCATGCTGCGTCCAGGTGGCGGGGCGAGTGGCACCTTCCCTGGGGACACGTGCGGGTGCCGACGGGCTTCCTGCGGACCCGAGGTCGCGGGGGTGAGCGGAGGCGGCGGGGCCAGGCTCTCCCTGACATGGGCCGCACAGGGCTGGACGCTGGGGCCGCTGCACCCGGCTCGGCACGCCAGGCCGATGTCCTGGGCGGAGACCTGCGGAGCCTCTGCGGGGCCGGGCCCGGCTCCACCGTGTCTGCTTCCCTCGTAGGATAACAAAAAGATGAAGAAGTCTCTGGAGGAAGAGCAGAGAGCCCGGAAGGACCTGGAGAAGCTGGTGAGGAAAGTTCTGAAGAACATGAACGACCCTGCTTGGGACGAGACCAATCTCTGAGCAGCAGGAGCCCGGCTTGGGCGCGGGAGAGGTCGCGGCAGCCGGCCCTGCCACTGCTGACGCTGGGACCCAGGGGCCGCAGGGTCTGTTGCTCGACCGGCCCCGCGCCCCGCGGAGTCTAGGCACGAGGGGGACACCTGACGTGACAGCTCGGCCCCTCCCTCGGCGACAAGCACAGTGACTGTCCAGGCCCCGTGTCCCGACTTCTCCCAATAGATGTAAATGCCACCTGTGTGCTCTCGTGCTTGGTGTGCGGGACGCCGGCCTGGCGGGCTGGTGCGGGCCGGTGCGGGCCGGTGCGGGCTGGGGGCTCCTGCCGCCACTGGCCCGAGCCCCGGACGGGTGTCTGCACGCGAGGGGCAGAGGCCCAGAGCCTGCGGAGTCCCTGTGTCAGCCCGTCTGCCTGTGCCAGGCGCCTTCCCCTTGCCCGCCTCCGCTGTGGGCCCGGCTTCCGTTGAGAGACCCAGCCGGCCCCACACTGTCCCGGGCGCGTGGGGCTGGCGAGCGCGCTGTCCCCAGCACACATGGCCGGTCCTCCCCTGGGCCCGCAGACAGAGGCGCCGCCATGCCGTGCTCTGCGGCTGCGGGGTGCGCTGGGGGTGGGTGGGTTGCGCCGGCCCGGCAGGCAGAGCATGACTCAGCGCACCTGGGGGGGGGCGGAGTGGGGAAGGAGGCGGGTCCACGGTCGACCCCGGGGCGGGGCAGCTTGACGGGGCCCGTCTCGTCTCCCTGCTGCTCACATCCCCGTGGCAGAGGCGCGGGGAGCCCAGCCCGCTGTCCTGCGAGGCGTGGGGCAGGCACCCATCCCCCGAAGGGGTCGCTGAGGGCGAGGTCACCGTCCTGTCGGCGGGGCTCTTCTCTGCAAACCAGTGCTGCCGTGGGGAGCGCACGCTGGCCGTCGTGGCCGGCCCCTCGGCTTCCTGGTGGCCGGCGGGCCTCGCTGCCCCGCCCCCAGCAGTGCTCGCCCACCTTCCTGACAGCGATCAGGGCCCGGCGATGACCTGTCTGCGCTGGACCTTGGACGAGGGCCGCCAGCTTCCTGCCCTGAGAGTTCTGACACGTGAGCCCTGACGCTGCAGCGGGAGGCTGACCTCCGGGCCGGTGCGGCTGGCAGCTGGACAGGGCTCCGCTCGGGAGCCGCCCATCTCTGCGCCCCTGGGGGCACCACGTTGCCGGCTGGGGGGCTCCGGGTGGCTACCTTGCTTGCACCCGCGTTTCCCTGAGTATTTCAGGAAGCAAGAGAAAAGGCGTCTTCAGACCTGCCGCGCCACGCAGGCGGGTGCGCTGGGAGGGCTGGGCGTCCGCGGCGGCCCTGGGCAGGGCGAGTGCTCGCCGAGGCTCCTCGCCCGCCCCACCCCGTCTGGAGAGGAGCCCTGGAGCCCTGTCCTGAGGCCGTGGAGCCGCGCCCCGGCGTCGACTGCCTGGCGGTCCACTCCGCGTGCCCTCCGGACGCCCCCTCCTCGGCGCCCCCGCGGCGCGCCTCACCCCCGTGGTTGTCATTAAACAGACTCCTTTTGCAAACCTGCCCCCGCCTTTCGTGAGGTGTCGAGTGTTCCTTGCACTTCGGTTCCCAGAATTTTGAATCCTGGTGTGAATTTTATAACATCGGAAATAACTACTCTTGCCTCTAAGACCTGGGCTTGGCAGCCTCGGCGGGGGACGGGGCCGTGGCCGCGAGCCCCTCCGGACGTCCTCCAGAGCGCAGCATCGCGTCCCCGCGGCGGCCCCGGGCAGCCTGGTGGGCTTGGGGGTCAGCCCGACTGCGGGGAGCACATGGGCTTGGGGGGGGTTGAGGGTCTCCCCCTCCCGCGCTCCTGGCGGCACTCGCCGGGGGCCTGTGATGACCGGGAGGGGCAGCCACTCCAGGAGCTGTGCCCCGTGCGGAGGTGTGCGCAGGTGAGCGCTGACCGCTCGGCCCCTTTCCACTGTGTGGCTCTCAGCTGGGCCCAGGGCCCCGGGGGAGACCGCGAGGTGGTGGTGAGGCCCCCGCACCGATGGGCCAGGGCAGCCAGCGAGTGTCCTGCAGGCCGTGGAGACAGCTGTGTGGGATGTCCCTGCCGCACGGCCAGCGCGCTTGCTGGGGGCCCCGGAACCGCCGTACCTGGAGCACAGGAGTGGGGGGAGCACGGGCTGCGGCAGGGAACTGGGGAGAAGGCGGGGGGCACTTGCCAGCAAATGGTGGGGGCCTGGGGCGTCCTGTTGAAGCCGGTCTGGCCGCGACGCCCGAGAGAGGCACGAGGCACAGGGAGGCACCGTGCTCAGCTTGGGCCTGGGGTGTCTGGGCGGGGTTCCCGGCCCTCCTGCTGTGCACCCCGACTTGGGCCAGGAACCCCGCTGGAGGGGCTCCCGGATCCCCGCACTAGGCGCTGTACTGAGGAGGGAGGGAGGGAGTAGCTGGGCCGAGGGGCCGCTGAGCCTCGTCAGCTTCAAGCCGTCCAGTCCTTGTGCGGACGTTGGGGCTGGGTGGGTCACGGGTCAGGCGCCCGCCCGCAAGATGGCCTCCGAGCCAGGCGCGGGGGTGCTGCAGGCGACGCCCCTCCCAACAGTGGACACCAGGGTCAGTGCAGGCGGCCAGGCTGCGGGGGGTGGGGGCTGAGTTAAAGGAGTGGGGGCTGTGGGGGTCAGGTCCTGCCACCCAGGGGCCAGCCGTGGGGACTCACTGTGCAGTCGGCGCATGCGCGCCCTTTCTCTGGCTCCCGGGAAGAGCAGACACCGCGCGGGGCCGTGCGGGGCGGGACGGGTGTCGGGGTGGGGGGTTGCCAGGCTCCTGCAGCTGGAGGGCGGCAGGCTTGTTGGGGGGGTTGACTCCATGCTAGTCTCCGAACCAGAGTGGCCCCACGCCGCCCAGGCGGGTGACTGCCCTCCTGGCCCCAGGTCTCGACGCACTTGTCAGGGCCTTTACACCTGCCGCCGCTCACTCGCGTGCACACGCGCCTGCTCCCCGCCCAGGACACAGAAGCTCCCTCCTGCCCACACGCCTTGTCACCCCCGGGCAGCCCCTCACCGGCGGCCCTGCTGGCTGTCCTCGACCCCTGCCCGAGGGCACACGCCTTGTTCTGGCTCCTTCTGGCGGCGGGCCCTGGGCTTGCACCCTCACTGCTGTGCCCTGGTAGTACCCAGCGGGCTGTCGGGGAGGGGAGTGTGGGCCCCCGGAGTCCGACCCCTCGGCCCTGGGCCTCCTGGCCCTCTGTGTGATGTCATGAGCCTGTGTGACATCACAGTGGGCAGGCCAGAGGCCTGGCTCCGTGCTCCACGGCTGGAGAGCGGCAGGTTGGAGTGGCCAGTGTCCGCTTTGACCCCACGCTTGGTGTCCACTTGGAGGGTAACTGCAGCGCAACTGGGCTCCGTCGGGGTCATGGTCCACAGGTGAACCCCTGCTCCTGGCCTCCCCGTGGGGCCCTGTTGCTGGCCCTCGGGCTCCCTTCTGTCCCCCCACCCGTGCTGATCCCAGGCTTCTCCTGGGCTGGGTGCTGACCCCGGCCTCCTCCCCCGGTGCCCCCCCGCCCTGCTGACCTGCTGTCTCCTCCAGGTGCCCTTGACCCCAGCTGTCCTCCGCTGGCCACGATGAGATATGCACCAGAATTCAAAAAGTCCCCCTCGCACCTCCTGAAGAAGTTTGCAGGTAATGGGACGAGCCCTGGGCGCCGGCCCTGCCAGCAGGGGACGGGGGCCGAGACCGTCCTACGTGGCTGGGAAGCGCGGCCACGGTGTGAGCTGGGCGGAAGCACCTGGCCGAGCCGGCCCCTGTGGGCCAGGTGCGGGGGATGCACACCTGGCCGGGAGCCCGTCTCTGCGGAGCTTGCTCTGACAGTAAACAGGTGGGCGGAGGAGAGCGAGACCGGCTTCTCCCCCTCCTGCTCCTGGCTCCTGACGGAGGAGCCGAGCCCTGGGAGGCATCTGTCCCTCTGCCCGGGAGGCGCTGGCTTGGGGTCCCAGCAGCCGCGCGCCCCACAGGGAACCCCGGCCCGGGGCCTGGAGGGTGTGTGCCTGGCACAGGGCTCCTCCCTGCCGGGACTGTCCCGGGCGCCAACGCAGGGCGGGGTCTCTGCCGGCCACGCTGGGGCCACAGGAGGGTGGTGTTCCGGGTGCGAGTGGCCTGGCGTTGGCGGGGGCTGCCTGGAGGCCTGGGGCCATGAGGAGGGAGGGGCCTGCAGGTCCTGGGCGCCCCTGACCCTTGGGGCAGACGTCCCCCCTCCTGGCTCAGGGCTGTCTGGGGTGCAGCAGGTGGGGCCGGACCTGGGCAGGGGACCGGTCTCCCCGTCGGCAGTACGGTGGAGGGGGGCGTCCACCCACCTGCGAGAGGTGGCCCAGGGGACCCCCGGAGTCCGCTGGTAGCGGGAGGGCCCCCCGGGCCACGAGGTTGCCAGCCCTGCGACTGGGCCCTGCGCGATGCGGACGCATGCGGAATCCCTGGGACTCAGCTGCGAGGGGAACCTGCCCCGGGAAGGTGGGTGCGAGGCTGGGGCCTGCCGACCCCGCAGAACGTCCCGGCCCAGGTGCCGTGAGCGCGGCCGCGGTGCAGGAGGAGGACGGGAGGATGGCGTGGAGCCGGGCGTCCACGGCCACAGCTGCCCGCGCGTGGAGGAGCGTGTCTCAGATGAGTTGACCGCACAGGAGGCCCCTCCGAGGCAGGCGGGCCCCCGGCCCAGGAGGGCAGCCTCGCCACGGGCGCAGAAGCGCTTGGTGGAAAGTGGAGCTGGCCGCCCCCCACCCCCACCGTGTGCCGTGACCCCGAGCCGGCGAGACCCGGGCCCCGCCCCGTCCAGACCAGGCCCAGGCGGACTTGGGGACACCCTGACACCACCCGCGGCCCCCGGCACAGCCCCGGGTGTGTGCTCAGGGCCAGGGCTGCCCAGGGCCAGTCAGCCGCCAGCACCCCGGACCCCAGCCGGGCCTCTGGCCGCTTGGCTGTGGCTGTTCCCAGGCCCTGGCGCCGTCTGCCCCGCGGCTTCTGTGCACAGACCGGAGGGCCAGGCGGGCCGCCCAGCTTGGCTCGGCCCTGGAAGTGGGGCTGCCTGCCCCGGGCCGCAGAGGCCTGCCTGGATCTGGCTGGAGGGGGTGTGGAGCAGCCAGGACGGGGTGTCTTGAGGAGGGGCGCCGGGGCAGCCATTCTCCTGGACCACTTAGTGCGGAGCCTGAATGAACCTAAGACGATGCTGGGTCACTGGCGAGCACGGTGGCCCTGCCCCTGCCCCTGGTGATGGGGGTGTGGGGCTGGCCTGAGCGTCGCCCGTGGGAGAGGGGCCCCTCCCCTCCCCCCCCGACCTAGGGCCCAGCCCCACCCCGGCTCTGCCAGCTGGGGGCTCCGAGCCGTGGACCTGTGGGAGCCGAGCCCACCTGCCCCCTGCAAGCCCGCGGGCCACGCGCCTCCCGCCCTCCGCTTTCTCAGCAGCAGCTGCTGCAGCCGCTCGCCCGCGACAGCTTTTCGGCTCCCAGCTAATCCTCCGCCCCTGCTGCTGACTGAAGCCCCGGGGGCCGCGCCGAGTTCACCCCCGGCCCGCTGGATCAGGAGGGCTCCGCCGCCCTGCAGGGTGTCCCCTGCTATCACGGGGGCCCCGTTCTGAGCGATTCGCTTGGCACATCTTGCTCAGAAACTTCATTCGCGTCTTAGTTTCCGAGGGAGATTGCGTGACGCGTGATCTCGAGTGACGGCAGCCGCCCCGCAGGCCCCGCCCCGCCCTGCCCGGAGCTGGCTGCGCCCGCGTGACCCTCCCGTGCCCCTTTGCAGTGTGCGACATCCCCCTCTATGACATCTGCGACTACAACGTCACCAGAGACCGCTGCAAGGAGCTCGGCTGCTGCTTCTATAAAGGCGTCTGCTACGAGAAAGCAGTTCCCAGTAAGTATGAGCCAGGCCGGCGCCGAAGCCCCGCGCCCGCCGCCCGTAGCTGCCTCCTGCAGAGTCTGCGGGTCGGCTGCAGCCAGACACGGCCCGCGTGGGGTAGACGTGGCTGAAGAGCCCGCTGTCCGGGGCCCATGAAAGCTGAGCGTGGGGCCAGGGCCCATCCAGGGCCGGTGGCTGCGGCGCTGCCGGGAGCCGGGAGCCAAGCGGACCTACAGCAGGTTCTGCACCCGCCACGCACTCGGCCCGGCTGCGCGGTGGGGGGTGACAGCAGCGGGGGCTCCTGGCCGGGGGAGGCCATCGCCCTTCAAGTCGGGGCTGCTTCTCGTCCGCAGGCTGGGGCCTGGGGGCCGAGAAGGGCCGCCCTGCTGGCCCGTGTCGGGGGTCTGGTCTCCGGTTCGCTGGTTCTTTCTTTGACCTGCTGCTGAGCTCCGCCAGCGAGACGCTCGTTCCCGGGGCCCCCTGCGGCTCCAGAGCGGCCCCTCGGTCTTCTTGTGTTTCGCTAAACGATTTCCCTCCCTCGGCAGTCCCCGGCCGTGAGCTGTTGTTCACTCCGGCCCCTTAGGCACAGGCCGTGTAGCTTCCTGAGCACGCTGGGAGAGCTGCCTGTCTGCGCCGGGCCGTCCAGACCCAGCGTCCTCGGGGCAGCTCAGTGTTTTTCCAGGCACACGGCCGGACCTTCCTGCTGCTTTGCACGTCTCGCGTTTCGTTGAAAACCGGACCTTTTACACCACAGGATGCGACGGCCCCGAAAGCCTCTCCCCAGAGTTGCTGTTGCTGCCAGGGTTTGCTTAGTGAGTTTTCCGAACTCATGCCTGTGTCCTTCGTGTTGTGTGCGCCAGAGTCTGCCTGGCTGGCCGCGTGGTCAGCGAGCCGTGGACAGAACCCTCCCAGATGCCCGCTGACGACAAGGCCTCCACGTCGGGCCTCCGCGTCGGGCCCCAGAGCCTCACGGCCGTCTGGAAGAGCGTCAGGCCTCTCGGCCTTTCCCGGAAGTGTCCTGAGCCCCGAGCGCTTCCCCGGCCCCGGGGACCCCAAGGACGATGTTGCAGCTTTGAAGCCTCCCAGCAGACAGCGCCCCCACATCTTCTGCTCGGGCTCTTGGTCAGCGCCGGCTCCTGTGGTTCCCACGATGGCCTCTGAGCATGCCTGGCAGACACACCCGGAGGGCAGCCGCGGCCATGAACGGCACTCGGAGAGCTCAGCTGCCGGGACGCCCTGCAGCCCGCCCGCCCCCACCCGGCTGCCGCAGGAGGTCGCCCCAGGCCGCCTTTGGACGTGAGGCTCAGCCTTGGCGCCACAGGCGCGTGTGTCCCGGGGACCAGAGGGAGCACACGGGCGCGGGCTGAGGGGTGCATCTGAACATGGGTGCGGCCCCGCAGGCGAGGCCTGGGCTCTGGCTGCTCCCAGCGGGCGGCCGGGCCTTGGGAGGTCTGGCAGCAGCCCTCGGCGGTTCCGCGGTGCCTGCCTTCGGCTGCTCCCTGCGTCCTGCCGGCAGGAGGCGTGACCCTGCTGCCCCTGGGGTCACGGGGCAGCGGGGGGAGCCCTGCTCCCGGCCCATCTGGTCAGGAGCGCGGACACGGGGGTCAGCACCGGGTCTTTGGAGTTCAGAGGGCGACTCGCCCCTGCTCTGCAGCCTCCGCGCAGGGCGCAGGGCCTCGCGCTGTTCTTCTGGGTGTTTGTCTTCCGTTTCTTCGGGCTGAGGTGACTGAAAACTTGGATCCTGTCTGGGGTGAGCAGCCAAGACATCTAAAGAGAACATTTTCCTCAGTGGCGGCTACTTCTGGGTCCTCTCACACGTGCTCTGTGACAAGCCACACGTGTGGCGACAGTAAGCGCGGCGCTGGCTGGTGCTGGACGCCGCAGCCTTCTGGGCCCGGCCCCGCGGTGGCCGGCGCGTGCTCGCCCCGCCGTGTCTCAGGTCCCTGGAAGTGCCCGTTCTCTGTCCCAGCCGCTGCCACACTCCCTCGTGTCGTCCACCCACCGCCCGGAACATGCGGGTCCAAGCCCAGGGGCTTGAGCAACAACTGGGGGGCGGCCCGGGGGCGGCATCGCAGGCCAGCGCCCTGCAAGGGGCTCAGGGGCCCCCAAGAGGCAGCTTGGAAGCCCCTGGGCCCCACCAGCACCAGGGCCTCCGCATCTGGGGTGTTCAGAGAAGACACGCACCTCTGGGGGTGGGACCCCCAGCTTGGGGCAGCCCGGCTGCGGCCGCACGGGGCCACGGGCCCTGTGTCCCGGGAAGGCTCGTCCTCCCAGCCGCCCACTGCCCTGGGGGCCGGGAGCAGCACGGCTGTGGGCGCGAGTCCTGCTCGTTCCCGCTCGCCAGCGTCACGACAAGGACGCGTCTCAGGAGATCCAGGCACGTCCCTGTGAAGCCATCACCTTCCTCACTGGGCCTTCACCCTCCAGCCTGTGGGGTCCCGCCGGGCCCACCCGGACAGCACCTCCCTGGGGCGTCAACCCCCACCCCGCGGGGGCCCTGGGGACACGGGCGGGCCCCAGTCCCCAGAGGCTCAGGAGAGGCGCAGACGCCACGCTAGGCCCGGGGCCGGTGTGGTCCTTCCCGCCCTCCGCGTAGAGGGCCGGCGGGAGGGCCGGGGTTGAGGCTGCTGGGGGCCGCGCGCTCCCCAGGCCCCGCCGGCTCTGCCGCGTGGGGCCATGTCTGCGGCGGCCGTGGCCGGCGGTCCCGGGAGGGGCGGGAGAGGCGGTGGGCGGTGGGTGCAGCGGCTGGAGGACGCCTCTCGCCGGGCCGGCCGCTGACCCCGGCTGTCCTTGCCTTGCAGCCTACGTGCAGGTGTTCTCGGCCCTGATAATCATCGTGGCCGTGGCCTTCGTCGTCACCATCATCTACAGGTGGTTCCTGCGGGCGCAGGCGCAGAGCTGGGGGAGGCAGCCTCAGCAGAGGTGCCTGTCCCGGGGCGCCTGTCCGGGGGCCCTGCCTGTCTGGGGGCCCTGCCCTGGGGGGCGCCTGTCGGGGGGGCCCTGTCTGGGGGGGGACCTGGCCTGGGGGGCGCCTGTCAGGGGGTGTCACCAGGGAGCCTGGACAAGAGCGGCCGGGAGCAGGGCCTCCCCGGAGCGCACCAGGCGCGCCCACCCCCAGGCACACTGACAGTGTTGGGGGGCTGCCCCTCCTGGCCCGCTGTCCTTGGTGTCCGGTGCTGCACGTGGCCCCTGTTTGGTGTGGGTGCAAGGAGCAAACAGGCCAGGCGCCCTCTCAGCAGACGCCCGCTGGGTGGGAAGCGGCACGGGGCGGTGCAGGAGCCGCTCCCGACACGCTCCCTCCCGCCAGGGTGGCCCAGGAGAGCCGGAAAGAGAAGGAGGTCTCTGCCGGGCAGACCTTGTCACCCAGGACCAGTGAGAAGTTGGGGGACACCCCCTCTGGGGAGACCCTGCCAGTCACGAGCACGGGGCTGTCTCAGTCGGGCACGGAGGAACGAGGGGAGGAAGGTGAGTGGCCGGCCCCGCAGCGCCCAGGGCCCCGGGGCCAGCTCCCCGGCCGGAGGGTCCGCTGGGGCTCCCCCCCTCGGCTCTGCGTCTGGCCCGAAAGCCCCCCGGATGCCATCCCGTGTGGCCCGGGCAGAGCCGGGGGCTCCCTGGAGACCCTCCCAGGGCCTGGGGTCAGCAGCTGGCAGGTTGGAGAAGGGTCCCTGCGGCCCAGGTGACCGTGGGGTGTGGGGGGCTCCAGTCTCGGCCCCTGCTGTCCTCCCGCACAGCTCTGGCTCATGCAGGGGCAGCCCCGGAGGTGGTGTGGGCAGGGAGGGCGCCCAGCCCCGGAGGTGGTGTGGGCTGGGCCGCTCTGGCGGCGCGCGGAGCCCGGCCTCCTGTGGGCATGCTGGCCCTCCCGGCGCAGGGCCCCCGCTTGTCTCCGGGGAGTCGGGCTGACGGTGCTCAGGCGTGCGGGGAGACCGGGCCGCGAGCCTCAAAGCTGCCCTTCTGTCCCCCCCAGCGACCGTGACCATCACACACGCGGAGGAGAGCTTGGACTAGGTGGCCGGCGGGCGCTGCCGCGTGGGCCATGCGTGATGATGCCCCGGGGGGAATAAAGATATTTTGCAGGCTGCTTGCTGGCCGTGTCTTCCTTGCGTGTGCTTTTCATTATCACCCCTTCATTTCCTGGCCTCGTGGGTCCCCGGAGCCGGGTCTTGTCCCCCGAGGCACGGCCTCCCCGAGTCACAGGACACGGCTTGGCTCCTGTGTAGCTGCCCGCTCCTGCGGCCGCCTTCAGTCCAGAACGTTCCTCGGGGCTCCCGGCACCCTGGAGCGGGCAGAGCAGTGACGGTGTCCTCGGCTGCGGGTCCACTGCGCCCTGCGGGGCTCCCCGCCTGGCGGGCCTGCTGGTCACCGGACCCCACCACGGCCCTTTCTCCTGTCTGGTCAGCGCCTTGTGTGACGACACTGACGTGATGTAGATGCCCAGTGGCCCCTTGGACATGCCAGGGGCTGCCACTGTCGCTGCTGTCCTGGTGCTTGCGTCCCCTCGGACGGGGCGCCCCGAGACTGGCCAGTGTCTCACCCGCTCACTGGCTTCGTCCTGGAGAACGTTCTCGCTTTCCGGCGGCAGCAGTCCCAGACTGCCGGTCCTCCTCGGAGCCCTGGACCCTGGAGGGCTGGTCCTGCGCCCCGACAGGTCCCGGCTGCGATGATGGCCGTGGGAGGTGCTGCCCTCGGTCCGCGGAGGGGGCAGCCAGGGCTCCCCACCTGGTATCGGGGGCCGCCGGCCCCGCCTGAGCGCCTTCTCCAAGGCCCCTCCCAAGCGAGGCCCACGTGGGCCCCCAGGGCGCTGCTGCTCCAATTTGGGGTGACTTTAAATCCCCCTTGTCTATCCTGCAAGCCGACCCCCAGGGCTGCTCTCGCCCTCGACTGCAGGTGCTCGCCGCTCCGGCCTGTTGAAGGGCCAGTCGCCATGGAAACCGTATTGTGGAAAATGGCTTGTCCCTGCAGCACCTTCCGGGTGAGGTCGCCGGGTGGTAGTGCTTCCTCCGTGGGGGGGTGCGTGAGCAGCTGGGGGCCGCCAGTCACGGCCCTGTCCTGGGTCCCGGAATTCAGGGCCGGCCACTGAGCATGGGGCCGGGGGGGGGGGGGGGCGGGTGGGGTGCAGGCCCGGCCTGAGGGGACGGTCGGGAGACCTGACTTCGGTCCAGTTCCCGCCTCCTGGAGTCCCAGGCAAGTCGCTCTGCGTGGGAAGCCAGCCCCCTGCCCGCCAGGTGACCGGCCGGCCCCACCGCCGCTCCGGCGCGTGCAGATGCTGGCGGCGTCCCGGCCGGTCTCTCTCCTGCGCGGCCCCCACCCTCGTGCGGCAGTTCCTCGGGCCGTCCTGGGGTGGCTGGAGGGCGCGGTCCTCCCAGGGCCCTGGAGAGGGCCAGGCTCACCGCCAGCCTGGGGGCCGGACACTCAGCCCTGGCACCCCCAGGCAGACGCGAATGCTCCTGCTGGCCCCCGGCTCCCCCGGACCTTTCGCCAGCCCCAGGCTCCCCCAGGAACACCTGCTGGCTGGGCCTCGCTTCTGGCTGCCCCCTGCTGGCCGCGTGGCCAGGCCAGGCTCCGGGGCCTGCTCCTGGCCTCCCATGTCCTCTCCCTCACGGTGGCCCCGTCATGGCAGCTTCCTTGGGGCCAGCCCCCCACCTTTCCGCCAGGGTTTCGTGTTGGGGGCTGAGCCGGTCTGGGAGTGGGAACGGGGCCTCCTGTCCGGCCGGCCCCCTGCCCCACCCCCGGCTTTCTCCCCAGCACCGCTTCTCCCCAGCTCTCCTCGCCCGGCCGCTCCGGGAGCCATGGGGCAGGTGGCGGCTCCCCCTCGGCCCTGCTCCGCCCTGTCCACGGGGCTCCCTGGCCCGTCCTCCCGCCCACTCTGAGCTTGGGGCCAGCGCATCCCGCTCCTGCCAGAGGCCGGGGAGGGGCCCCAACGTGCTCCTCAGGCCCCGTGGCGCCTGTCTCCCCGCGGGCCAGGCCCGGCTCCGGGGCTCTGCGATGTCCCCAGGGCCCCGCCCCGCTGCAGCCCTGCGGCCCTGCCCCCACCCGGTGTCCGGGTCTCCTCCCGCGGCCTACCTGGCCGCAGCCGCTCACTGACCGCCCTCCCCGTCGCCGGCGTCCCGGGTTCGGGTTTGAAGGGTGGTGGTTTGCGGCCAGCGTGTGTTCTGGCTGGAAAGCTGGGCCTTCTCAATAAAAGCAAAGGTGAGTTAACGAAGTTGTATCTGAGGAGGGTGTGTGAGGGCGAGTGTGAATGCGTGTGTTGTGTTTGTGTGCTCGTGTGAGCGCACGAACCTGTGGGAGCGTGGACGGGAAAGTGTGGGTGCGTGTGCGCCGGCGGGCGTGAGCTCGGAGGTCCAGCTGAAGGGGGCTGTCCACCAGCCCCCGGCCGCACCCCCGGGCCCCGTGTCCCCGGCCGCGGCTGTGCTGGGACCCTGCTCCGGCCGCGGCTCTGGCGGGAAGGACCCGGGCCGGCCGGGCCAGCGCGGCTCAGCTCCAGGCCCGAGGCCGCCACGCCGCCTGCGCCCGCGGAAGGTTGTATATGAGGCGCCTTATTAAAGTGACAAGGCAATTTAATCCCTTTGTGCGCGATGATTCTACTTCATTGATTTACAATGGCAAGGATATAATTTTGCTAGTGTTGGCAAAAAGCTCAAATGTCAGCCTTTTCAAATTGCCATACTCGCCTTGTTCAGGATGAATAATGAATAAGTCACCTTTTGTCTACAGTTAAATATTCTTGAATAAATACAAAGAACATAAAAGACATAAATGATTGCCTGATTTATATTTAAAATAAAGATCAACATTGTGATAAATGGCTGAAGATGCTGCCTGCAGCAATACGCCAAGAGGGTGTGCCCGGCGGAGGCTGGAACCCTACCTGGGCGCCGGCCAGGCCGCGGCGGGCCGGGCTGCAGAGGGAGCCGGGCCCAGCAGAAGGGCGAGAGCGGAGGGCTCGCTGCCCGTGGCCCGGGGCTGTGGCTGCCTGGAAGGGGCGTGGAGGCCGCGCCGGGGAGGAGGGGCGGGTTGGCCGAGCGGGCGCCTCCTGGAGAGAGGGCCTTGGCGGCGCCCCCTGAGCCGCGGCGCAGGGCAGGCGTGTGTGTGTGAGTGAGCCTGTGTGGGGGTGTGCAGGTGACTGTTTATATGTGTCCGTGTGTATGATGTATGTGCACCCATGAGTATGAGCACACGTGTATATATGTGAGCGATGGCATGTCAGTGTGAGCACATGTGCATACATGTGAGCAGATGTGTGTACACACGTGAGTCTGCGTGTGCGATTGCGAGTATGTGCATGTGCCTGAGTGTGTGAGCACGTGCATGTATGTGTCCGTGTACCTGTGGGCATGAATGTGAGTGCGTGTGAGCATTCGTGTGTGTGTGTGAGCTGTGCATGGGTGTGAGTGTGAGCTGAGCATCCCCGAGGCCGGCTTGCCAGGGACGCACAGACTGGGCCAGCAGGGGCAGCAGCTCCCGCTGGCCCCCCCCACCCCCCCACCCCCCAGCCCTCACCCCCCAGTCCCCAACACCCCCAGCCCACACCACCAGCCCACCCCCCAGCCCACACTCCCCACCCCCAGCCCACACCCCCTACCCCCACCCCCAGCCCACAAACCCAGCCCCCACCCCCCATCCCCCACACCCCCAGTCTGTGCCCCAGCCCACCCCCAGCTCACACCCCCAGCCCACACTCCCCCACCCCCCAGCTCCACCCAGCCCACACTCCCCCACCCCACACCCCAAACCCCCAGCCCAACCCTCCAGCCCACACCCCCACCCCCTCAGCCCCCACCCCTCCAGGCCCGCCCAGCCCACCCCCCTACCCCCCGCACCCCAGCCCCCCATCCCACCCCTCTCTGCGCGGGCCGGGTCTGGGTTGTGGCCGCTGCCTCACGGCCGGGGTTTGCGCCAGACGCGGGCGGCGGGGCGGCTGCGGCGGACACGGGCCTCGGGTCGGAACCAACGGCGGCAGGTGGGAGTTGGGGCCCAGCCGGCCGGGGCCTCCGCATGGGGGCTGGGGGTGCGGCGGGGGCGGGGCCAGCCTCCTCGGCCCCCGAGCTTGCTGCCCTGTGGGCGGGCTGGGCCGCCGGGAGGCCTGGGGCGCCGCCATGTCATCCCGGAGCGCAGGGCCAGCCTGGGGGGCGCGGGGCTCCCCGCGGTGTCTGGCGCTGCCTCCAGCCAGCCGGCGTCCAGGTCGGGGCACGAGGCCAGTGCGGGGGCAGCTGCCGCCCGGGCTTCCGCCGAAGCTGGGGAGGGCCGGGACCCCAAGGGGAGCCGCGGAGGGCAGCCCCGGGAGGGGTGTCTGAGCCTGAGGGGGCCGGACTGGGGTGCGCAGGCGCTGCCCGAGGTCCCCTTGAGCCCCGCCACCCAGTGGGCTGCCCCCCAGGCCCTGCCCTGCCCGCGGGGGAGCTTCAGGGTCTGGTTTCCAGCAGGACCCGCGGGGTCCCGGCCGCGCTTCGGGCTGCAGCACAGGCGTCTGGACGCCGGGTTCGGCTCGCGCGTGGATGGGGGGCGCCCCCTGCGGCGCTCCGTCCCCCCGGCCCCTGTCCCCGGGCTGGGGCAGCGCAGACCCCCGTGGGTGACCAGGCTGGACGGGGAGGCCGGGGCCTGGCGGCAGGCGCTGGGTACCGAGGCCTCCGCTGCCCGCGCAGTCGCAGTCCAGCGGTCGGACGGGCCTCCGGGCGCCCAGGCGCGGGCCGCGGGCCCGAGGAGCGGCCTCCTGGCGGTGTCGGGAGCGGCGGCCGGGCCTCTGCGGGGAGGTTCAGGCCCAGGACTAAGTGCTGTCCAAGGACACAGCTTGGCCACGTGCACGCCACGGCTTTGCTGACCAAACGCGCCCAGGGAGCCTGGGGTCAGCGCCAGACTCGAGTGTGGGGGTCGCGGAAGAGGAGGTGGGGGGGGGCGTGGGGTGGCAGGTGGGGGGGCAAGTGCGCACAGGTAGGCTGGCCTCCCCCCGAGTCTGGGGGCACCACACTGGGGTTCCCCAGCTGGGGACGCGTTGGACAGTTCGAAGGGAAGAGCAGAGTTTGTCGCCCCGGGCGGGCCTTTCTGAGGGGGGCACAGGCGCTGGAGGGGGCGCTGCGGGCCCCAGGGCTGTCGGGAGTCGGGATTCAC